GTATCCTTCTCTATTCGAAATTCCCTATTCCAACTACCTCCAACTCAAATCATAATTTTATGCGTTGGATGGCTACTGTGTGGGAGCTTAAGGGGATGTTAGGGGGGTCTAGGCCAGAGCAGATACTTCAATTCTACGATACTTATAAAAAGTATTTTAGCCATTGCACAGGTCTTCAAATGACCAAAGACTGAGTTGAAAAATAACTTTTTTATACGTGCTGCAATGTAATATAAATCAAATAACGACTTTTTTGAATTAATCAAAAAAACCCACCTATAAAAAATTTGGAAAGCTATTCCAAGTCTCGTGCAAGACAAAAATAGATAAAAGGAAATGAGCTGAAGTAAATCAGGCAAGAAACCTACTTATCCATGTAATTTATTTTTCTCTAGCTACATTGCAAATTTTGCTATTGAGATTCCAGACGTACAAAGACGATAGGGATAACGGGGCAGGTCGGAACCATATCTTTTAAAAAACGGGGTTATCCCTAATTGGTCATAACTTTTAAAAAATAAAATCGTTCTCATTAGATTTTTGGAAAAGGGTTCTCTTTTACTGATACAAATTACCCTTATAACTTGGAAATACTCTCTTCATCCGTGATTTCCCCAAGAGATGAATTTTTTGACAGCAAGGAATCACAAAATTAACGCGTTCACTAATTAAACGCAACGGAAATTGAAGTTAAGTATAAATGAGGTATGAGGTATGATTCAAAGAGAAGAGAATAAGAGAAATTTGCGTTTCAATCAGAACTTTTGTGTGAAAAAGTATATGGTTTCTTTGCGTGTGACAAGCCTAAATGCGAAACGACTTGCGTCGTGAACTAGCGATAGTCACAGTAGTGCGTGTGAAATTTTTTACCAAAATTTCCTTCCAGAGCAAGCTGCTTTTTATCACGTGACCAGAAGCGGACTGGCCCACCGGGACACCGGGAAATTTCCCGGTGCGCCCTCTGCCCCAAGTTATTTTTTTCAATAACTTGAAAACTTTCAAAAGGCAAATAATCTTTGCACAGAATTAAAATTAATTACAATCATCAATTGACCTCCTATCCAAAGTACGTTTGCATCAAGAGAATAACACGCAAAAACTTTATTCTACAACCGAGCTGTTGTTGATAGACACCCTGAATAACTTTGAGTTTATGATTGTTTTTAACTATGTGAAGAATGATGGTTGCGAAGACATGATAATTTATTAGGCGTCATTAGCCGTTTGACGTCATGCGTGTTTGGTCATTGCGTGATGACTCCACATCTCCTTCCGATGCTGGGCAACTTTTTTCGCAATTCATCGCTTTGAAAATATTTGTACAAATATTAACACAAATATGTTACGCAATGAACTCAAGAAATCACGGAAATACGTAGCAGAATAAAAAGACCTGTGCGCATCATTTAAAAGAAAGAATTATTTTGCTCCAAGTGTCATTTTCAGTATGTAAGTTCTTATTTTCGCTCTGAAAATTGGATACTCTCTGTACCTTTAATGTATTGAAGAGGTCCTGTTTTATTTATCTTTTTAAACATGCAAGGCCTAAGCTGTATTGTTCATTACCCGAGCAAAGATTGTATGTACAGTAGTATTGAAGATTTGTCTGACATCAATAAAGATAAAATTGCAAAGGCTACTCGTTTACGACTTGGTGGCAAAAATCTCCACGAAGAACAATGCAGCTCCATTCCTGACGAGGTTGATCCAAATTAGCACAGAGTTCACTTAGATCCTTGTATAAAAAATTTACAAAGATCCTGTCCCATGAGAAATCCCTCCCAGAAACTAGCACTGAAGCTATTCAGCGCCCACAAAGATTAAAGACTGCAGCTCCTCAATGACCAGAGGTTTATCCCCAGGTGTGTAATTTTTGCCAAAAGTACCGGGTAAAGAGGCAACAGAAACATCATGTACCAATAACGATCACGACGAAGCAGGTCGAACTAACGTAAAAGAAGCTGCTGAAGCCAATATCGATCAGAACATTTATTATAAAATTAAAGATGTTGATCTCATAGCTAAAAAATTTGAATACCATGGATTCTGCTACAAAGAGTTTACAAGAAAAAATAAACAATCCCAAGCAACAGCAGTGGTTGATAAACGGCCAAAGAGTGATTACGAAAGCGTAATCCAATGCATAAATGAACGAGTATTTGGCCAGAATCAAGCAGTGTCAATGTCAGTTTTGCATGGTATTTTAAGATTGAACCCAGGAGACACAAGATACCGAAGTAAACTTAAAGGCAGAATTCAGTCAGATTTCAAAGAAAAACTTTATTTTCTCTTTATTGATAAAAACACACCAGAGGTTGTCATAAATCGGAAAGCTATAGAATCTCAAACTTTGTTAAGTGACAGTGCACAGATCGTTGAGCAAGCTGCAATGCTTCTTCGTGGCGAAATTCTAAATTATGCCAGTTCCATTCTAGAACTTGCCTGGCCGATTGATTTAGATGAGCTGAATTCTGATACAAGACAACCCCCAGCAAACCTGGCTTTTTTCGTAAGTGTTTATAAGAACATCCAAATCGCACTACAGCGAGCAAGTTAATCAACTCCTAATCCCCAGACCTGATATTTGGTGTCACAAGAGGAAAATGTATTACAACGAAGCATTTCTTGCTTGGCCTTGGCCTCCATAATCTTACTGGTCAAAAGAAGCCAATTCAAATTTTGAATCATCTTGGTCACTGCATTGATTATAATCTGATTTGCGAAATCGAAACCCCTCAGGCCGAAAAGTCGCAACTTCTAGCTACGAAATCTAAGACTTTGCCTCTCACGCCATGCGATGAAAATGAAACAGTGCTGACATATTTCTGGATTGATAATTTCGAGATTAATCTCGAAACACAAACAGGTCACGGATCTATCAATTCAACTCATATGTTTTACAAGAAGTTTCACCTATTGCGATTTCTGCCAAAACTATGATCGAGTTTCCACGGTCAAAGAAACGGAAAATAGTCCCAAAAGAAGATGAATCTGAAGGTGTTATAGTTCATCCAAAGAAGGAACCAGAGAAATTTCCGGACGGTAACGCAGTCATAAAATCTTCGATATCGTGGGATGTTGCTAGGTATGTCTTTTGAATACTAATTCAAGGACTAATTGCAGCGGATCAGACAATTTTAACCTATTCTGGATGGTGCACAGCAGCAAGAAAACAACTCTCACCGCTTTCACAAAAAAGACAGTGCTTACAGATTTGCCTCCCAAAAATGCAAAAGTTACAAATTTTGCAACAATATTTAGGTATCTGTCTTATCTTCAAAAGCTGGCTAAAGAGGCAAACATGCTTTTTGTTAACGTGACTCTGGACGTTGGTGCCGCAATGAACGTTTACAAGCTAATCTGGAACTATTCACGAATATTTGAGAATATTGTTGTTCACTTGGGTGACTTCCACTTCATCAAAGAAAACTTTGGAGACATTGGAAAAATTATTAAATGTTCTGGTTTCGAAGATGTAGTGTTTCAGGCTAGCGTTTGTTCTCCAGGAAGCCTGAACGGTGTTCTGGGTGGGACACATTATAACCGTGCATGGACTGTCCATGCTACTTTTTCAGAAGCCCTAGAACGGCTACTGTTTGAGCGATTTTCGGAAGAGTGCAACCTGGTCATTTATCAAGCGAGGCCAACTTCTTCACAAAATACCAATAATTTCGGCAGTTAGTTCGTGATGGCGAGTTCGGCCTTACGGCACAATTTTGGTTTAGTCTGTATTTGGATTTGATGGAAAAACAACACTTTATGCACATTGCTGTTCACGAAAACAATCGACCTACTGACGCTTTGCTGGTTTTTTGCCGCTATATTTCTCATTACAGGAAGTAAATTACGCTCGCTATGGTTCGTTTTATGTTGAAGTACTTTTTCAAATGGAAAAGCTGTATCCTGGCTTGAAAGGTCTGCTACGCGAGAAAGGTATGTCTGTTCAAGCACAAGAATATTTTCCCTTGAGAGTTACAATTGATCAACGTGGTGAACAAACCCTGAACCGAGATGCTAAAACGACAGGAAGAATCACTCATTTTGCGTCTGATAGCACAGGTATATTGAAATGGACGTTGAATCGCGCGGAAGAAGCAAACAATACTAGAGCATTACTTCAGATGACAGATATTAATTGTTCGTCAATACTAAACAAGCCCCTCACGCCGTCTAAAAAAAACCTTAAAATCTGAGAAACTGGTGATCATCATCGTCAGAACTCTTAAGGGATAGCAGAGGTGGCACCAGAAATCTTCCGACAGAGGGGTTTGAGCTTTCGACAAGGGGGCTAAAATGACTTAAATATGCAATTTTTGTACGTTATTTTGTCAGGCTTGCTCCGACAATAACCCAACATTTCCTCCGATAGGGGGGCTAGATGCTTCCGACGGAGGGGCTATAGCCCCCCCCCTAGCCCTCCCCTGGCGCCACCACTGAGGAAGAGTTTATTAATCCTTTTGCTTTTGAACTTGATCAAACCAAGTTATTAACCTAAGCTCTGGTATTCCACTAGCAACTGAAGAAGCACTTGATGTTATGTCAATAAGAAAAGTTGGGGAAGAAGAACATGACAATTTTCGAAATGAAAGACTTCTAAAAAAAGAGAAAGGTTTTCATGATCCCATAAAGAAAAATAATTTGAAACTGTTCTCCAGTGGAAACAGGAAGGTTCAAACAGAATAGTCATCTGTACGACTGACTACTGTAGCTGTAGCACACGACACAACGGTCGACGACAGCTTCGAGTTCGAAAAGGAAAGCCAAGCATCAGTGCACGTCGCCTGCGTGCGTCACTCAATTAAAACGACATCAGTCCTTTCAGATTTAGAAACCTATACCTTCAGTGCATCACTTCCCTGCTAGACGAGGAATTTTTCGAGGAAAGCAACTCCATATTATTTTGTTTAAGGGGAATCTCCACTAGACGATCGTCAATCGCGCGACGAACGCTTTAGGACGCCTGAAAACAAAAGTGCGATGGGTGCCATTGTTACAAAAAGAAAGCATCACTTCACTTCCTCTAAACCTGTTCCTCTGCGAAGCACCATTACTCCAAGTATAATCTTTGTTCAAAATGGGAAATGTCAATTACCAAAAAACCCAGTATAAATATATCTTGATGTAATTAACATCAAAGACAGAGGCAGACGTGTAAAGAAGAGGAAACACATAGCTACAAACTCTTTGACCAGGTATTTCAATTATTAGACTGCAGAAAATTTCAATTGTATAAAAGCAATGTCTTCCATATGAGAAAAAAGCCATGATTCTGTGCAATATATTATGATTTTATCAGTAATTTTTCTTTCATTTTAACATCTATTGCTAAACTCTTTTTGTACAATTTACATCACATTACATTTTATCTGTTTTGTAGCTCAAATATATGCTCTGAAAGCATTTAGTTCACATTAATTTTTGCATAGTGTAGATATCTAAAAGCGACCGATAACTGAGTTGAAAAACAGGTTTTTTTTCATTACTTTGCACAAGGTTTCAGTTTAATGAAAAGCAAATCGCGACTTTTTTTGAAATTATTCGCATCCCCAAAATGTGGTGTGCGAGGTGGGTCCACGCAATGGAAGAAAGTAAATGAAAGAGCCAGTAAATAAATGGAAGAGCAAAGAAAAGAAGACTCGCTCAATAGCACAAGTATTGCACCCGGTTTAAGTCAATAAAATAAGATAGAGAGGAGACAAGATGAAACAAATGGTATAAGTGGTTTAAACATTATGGACCATGAACTGTGTTTTGAATATGTTTCATGATATGAGGAACCCAAGTAAGTAACTCGTACATCTTTGCAAATTCTTGTATGCTTGTAAGTTTTTTCCATATCAATAAATTCCAGTTGCAAGGACTTTGGTAGTTTTGCCCTGTTTTTAAAACGTCAACGAACAAAATTAATGGAATACAAATGACATCATAAACAAGAACGAATGTAAAAGGGACTATCAATTTATTTATTCTGGCCACGCCACCGAGTATCATCCTCAGAGCCCTGGTTTCAGTACTTTTGAGTGATATGAAAGGAGATAGGATAAGGGTGATACAGTGATATGATATGATTTGAATAATGATTATTCAGTTCAATGCGCTTTTACTTCAAGACGGGGGTTGCTTCACTCATTTGGAAATTTATCTTCTTCCTCTGCTAAATAAGAAGGATTAATCCGGTAATATGAGATTTGAAGCTTAAGTTTGTTTAGGATCCAAGAATATCATTTTATAATTTAGTTCCAAAAAATATAACTTTTGTTCAATGCTAGACTCAAAAGTAACAAGATACTGCATTCTTATTTTTTCGAAATGCTTTGCTTTGTAGACAGCGACACTGCTACAAATGAGGATGCGAACTAGAATAGTGGGTGGTACTTAGCAGAGTGTAGTGTTCCTTGTCCTACCAACATTTAGATTGCTTGCATGTAAGACTGTGTCATGAGTTTTTTAAACAAACCATATACACGGGACATTGCGCGTTTTTAGCCTGACTTGAACATCGGGATAATGGCGGGTGGTGCTCCGGTGCATCGATAAACTCGATAAATTGTATTTTCTGAGCGTATTTACCGAATATGGAATGGACAATTCATGGGCTCCGACGCAAGTTGGAAAGTGGAGGGGCCAAGATAAAATATAACAATCACAACAAAGGTTTTTAAGAAAAGCTTTATTGTTTTTAAAAAATGTGAGGGGGCCATGGACCCCCTCCGGCCCCCCTTCATCGGTGGCCCTGCAATTGCTATATTTCAGCGTTTGTACCGACTATCGAAACGAAAAGTGTATGTTAATTTGGTCTAGGTTAAGAAAATGAAGCTTCATTCAATAATGGCGAAGATAGAAGAGTCATTCCGTTCGATTCCGTTTGTCTTGGTAAATTCAGATGGAATTAGACATTCTACAACAAAATGATTGCTTAAAATTTGTCCAGCAAACTTTAATAATGTTTCTCGCTTATAATAGTCATCGGCAAGGTAGGTTTTTTCGTGTCATTTCGGCCAATTTCTATAAACAGCTCCCTGCCTGCGAGTTGCGCTATTCTAGCCGTAAAAGTGGCCTTTGCTTTTCGTATCGCCATTCCGTATCCAAAGAAAAATGGTGATATAATTGAAGAAAGAATCTATTTCATTCCTTTCCTTTCATAAAATGTCTAAAAATGCAAATGATTCGCACAATGAGCACGGATACAAAAAGCTGTTTTATTCCATTATGGTTTTCCTATTGAACGCAGGTTGTTTCACCCAAATAACTTTCGCAAACTGGCGTGTTGCCACGCGGGATGTTCCTTATGTCACAACCCCTTTAGCCCTGCACCTCTCGGCCGCAACTTCCCCATTGATTTCTATAGCACGAGGCTAATTGGCATAAATTCAAAATGGTAGCACTTCAGCCAATCAAAAGATTATTCTTCTTTGCTCTTAACCCTGTTTACACTGCAGAATTCAACTCGAGATGAACTCAAACTAGTTTAACCTGGGGCAAAATTTCGGGGGTACCAGGTATCCATCCTGAATAACGCGTTAATTAATTGCAAATCGCGCTTTCGCAGTGCTGGAATATAACTTTCACGATCACGCCCCCTTGAATCTCTTTTACTTTTAATAACTATCTAACAAGATAATATTCTTTTAGGCAGAGCAATCGGCATTGGAATCTCCGAATAATAGAGACATTAATCTGGTCTGGTACCGAAAACCAAAATCTTTTTGCTTTTAAAAACTAAAGCACTCCATTTTGAAATTAGCTTGCAGCACTCATTTTCACGCAATAACGCCATGAGTAATGCTAATTCACAGGTCACGCGTGAATATCTGTCTATTCACGCATTCACGCATAATAATAATTTGTTTCACAAATTCATGCATCGAAAATATGCCTATTACGCAATCACGTCAAAATACCTAGTTTATCTACTATACTAAACTAATGTTTTTTAATGTCTTTTGTACAGTTCTGTTTGGAAATTTTCAGAACTCTGTCTGTATAAATTACCAACAAACCAAAACAGGGTCACAGCAATAAGATAAAGGTCATTTCATGGTGTAACAAGATGATTGCTATGAAATAAGAAAAGCTCATTCCAAAAGTTAATCAAAATTTTTTTATAAGTCACAAGCCTTAAAATTGAAATTTTCAAAAGGAACTCATCAACTAAAAAATTGGGCGTGGTAAAATTTGGCCACACCCATTTTTTTCAAATTTGAAGGGAGGGCATGACCACTGCTTGGCTAGCTACGCCACTGTTTATACAGAAGGATAGGCTCGCCATATGAATAAATTTATTCGCCACATGCACAAGCAGAAGACTAGGTTCAGGAAGTTTTCCAAAGTGTACAACGAATACCTAGATATCAAATAAAGAAATGGCAATAAAACCATGACAAATGGGCCTAGCTATTTTCTATTATTCATCTCAAGAGATAGTTGCTACTTCATAAACTAAAATTTCTGCATCTATTCACAATTTTACCTGGGCCAGACCATCACAATCGCGTCAGTCAACTCGAGGCGGCTTTGACAACAGGAAGTGAAGCCAGGAGAAATTACATTTGTACGGCAAAAACGGAGAGGTGCTGTGCAAACAATTTTATGAAACATGCGAAGTTTAAGTGATTAAACTGTAAAATATGAAACACCTAGGAACGTGAGTAATTGAATTTCAAGTAAAATGGGAAGGTAACGCATAATTTTTTGCATTAAGAGTGATGGTATAGAGTGATGGTTTTTGGAGGATCTACAGTTTTTTTTGCAGTCCCTAAACATTTTTAAACAAAATGAGTTTATTGATCTGATGGCGAATACTTGGTTTGTTCTTATTTATGACTTGTTTTTTAATCTTTTCTTGGCGAACCTTCGCAAACAAACAGTCAAATATTTGAAGCAAATATTATTGACGAGGTGTATCAAGTGATCACCTTCTCTTGTCAGTCTGTCAATCCTTACACACACAAAACGCACGAAATGACCAGCTTAATAGCGAGATGCAATAGAACGCCATGCACTGATTCACTTCTTGCCGTGCAATGCGGAAATTGATAGGCTTCACTGCCTCCCTAATCAGTGATGTACGATTAATGTCTTTAATATGTCATACTTCAGGAGTCGCTCAGGTGTATGAGTCACTCACATTCAACCAATAGAGTCAACCACTTACATTTTGCAGTGAAGTGCATGACACAGGAAAAAATTATAAATCAAAATGCTATGATCACTAAAATCACGGTTGCCATAGGGATCCTGTTCCCTGTTGCCATAGGGAAATTTTGCTGACGTTGCAGTAAAATCTCAAACTTTGTCAAGATTAGGAGGCATGCTGTCGCATGCAATTATTTCATTTGGAATTTTTGCATCTTTATTCAGTTTATCTAATTAATCTTGGGAGTAGTATCTTTTGTAATCACTATTATTTTGTAATAATATAGCTTTGTAGGTTTTAAATTAGTTCTTCTTTAGGTTATATTTTGACCGTGTTATTTTTCAGAGTTAATTAGATTCATGGTTAAGAGCAATAGGGTTAAGGTTTGATATTATGTATGTTTAGGAAAAACTTTAGGTTCTCAGCGATTAATTAGTGTGGCGAGATGCTTGTAAAAGATCTTGTCGAGATGAAGTATGGATTTATAGAATACGAATTTGGATTTATGGAATCGCGCGTGACGATTTATTGATTGTACATTATTATAGTATAGGTTGAATGGACAGTGCTTGTGAAAGACTGTGTCTGTTATTAGGAGAACTATCGACGTTATGGGACAACTGTATAGAAACATTGTGAAGCTCATAACCTTTCGCGGAAAGATCGCATGATCGGAAGATGGACGTTTGAAACATTATTTATTTGTTTCTTTGTCTCAACTCTCATCGAAGGACTAGTTTATATCGACATTAGCAATAGGGTGGATTCATTTGGCAAAACCCCTATTACACAACTGTTATTAAGGAAATATGCTACAGTCTGACAATTTTTAAGGGCTCCATCCCCCAGCTCTCGGCCCCCCAGTTCCGGATGGCCTGGAGTCATGCTTTCCCAGGAACGTGTTTCGGATAGCTGACCTGGACCACGATGTAAGTGGGGAACTCGGCACGAACCTACCTCCAAAGCAGGGTAGGTGTTTTTTGGGTCGAATTCGGGGCGAGCCCTGGCTAGTGGTTGCGTTAACATTACAAATATTAATTAGGTGTAAACAAACTTCGGATCGTCCCCAGTTTGTTTGTGAAGTGCAAAAAGGCTTAAGTACTTCAAGACAACCTGGTCCACAGTAAATTGATTACTGATTACTCAGTTTTTTTTGTACAATGCCGTAAGCATGTTTCCCATTCTAAAATATCCTTTAACAAATCAAATTTTATCAAACAATCAATAACAAAATCGGTTTACTTTTTTCACAGCACCGTAACTTGTTTCTGAAAGAAATTCTCTCTGCTCCTTGTGAAATCCAAAGTCAATAATCAAAGATAGTCTGGACCAAAGACGATGGATATTGTCAATACATTGATTGCATTTTCGCTTTTGGTCAGCGTTTTTGGATACGATCCAAACTATCGCAACATTTTCTACCAAACAACAAAAGAGGTTCAGAATCAGCCTCTTTCCGATATCACTGGAGAGATCCCCAGCTGGATTGAAGGGGACTTCGTGCGCCAATCCTGTGCTTCATATGGAGATATAGATGGTAATATTTGTGTTTCATATGCACTTTATTTGACTTATTGCGTGGCCTTAAATTTCATGCTCAAAGAGACAAGCAATTAGCACGGAAAATATTCATACTATAGAAATGCTTAGCTGACGTCACAAAACACTTTATTGCAAAACTTAGAAAGTGATGTACCATTCTGCTGCATTTAAGAGCGTTGACCTTATCAAAATCACCTGAATATCAACATTTTTGTACCAAAATGCCAATACTCGTCTATTTAATTTCAGATTAAGTTGATGTTTAATGTGCAAAAGCTAGTCCAGTTAGTTTTTTTTGCTAAAGACTTGATAGTTTGATAGGAGAAGTTTCAATTATGAATTATTCATACCACAAATGGAAATTGATTTTCTAAGAAATAGAAATATTTGCTCAGCTGTTTGTTTGTTAAACTGAGTCCCCTAATCACGTAATTGTGTTCGTTTGCGCATTCGGTTCTGTTCAGGTACAATGCTCTAGCCCCAATCCCAACAATTTCAAAAAATTCACTTAAAAACATATAAAATCTCCCTACCCTTACTTTCTAGCATGTCTAGCCACCCCAAAAAGTTTTAGTCTTCTCAAACTCTAATTTGCTCACCGTTTCCTTGGTTCCATTTAGAAGTCTGCTTTGTCGATATTTTCATGCTCGATAAAATCTAGCCATTTGAATTGCATAGGCATTTGAATTCGCTACACACAGACTTGGCTTACATACACTATTGAATTCCTTGACCAAGTGCTTCACATCGCCTTGACCAAGCATAATAAACTACCGGCTTTGTCATATTTGCTGGAAGAATAACATATTATCATTTTCCAAGTTTTTGGTAGTAGAGAATTTAAAAAGGGCTTTGGGAAAACAAACCTATAACAACATACCTAAGCCTTACATAACGTCAATAAAACGTCAAGAAAATGATCGAGAATTCCAAGCAAAGAAAAATTGAACTTGGCTCTTAGGCTATGTTCACAATGCTCCGTATTGATTTTTATCCGTTTTCACATCGATCCGTTTTACCTGTTCACATTGATCCGGATACATTTGAAAACGTTATGAAAACGATGAAGCGTTCACATTGCTCCGCTATGGATAAAAAGGAAAACTCCACGAACTGGTTTACAGCACTTGCCACTGCTAATAAACTTTTCAAACAGCTCACTGCCACTAATTTTTCTCCGAGTAGTATACTAACTTCGAGTGAATCAGCCATTTTAAGATAAGTTGTTCAAATTGGCGCGGTCTTAGCATCTTGCAGTATTGTTGTTGTTGTTAGCATTTTCAAAAGTATCCGTTTTCGGTGTTCACACTGCGTTTTTGCGTTTTCAAAAGTCTCCGTTTTCAAAGTGCGTTTTCAAAAGTATTCGTTTTGAAGGTGGAGCAGTGTGAACGCAAGGCACAAACGGATACTTTTTTATCCGTTTTCATATGAATACGAAGCAGTGTGAACGGGGCCTTAATCAGAATTGGCCAATCAGAAAAGGGAGCAATCACGTGTTAGGGAGACTGTGAATTAGGAAGATATGCAGTCCTTTTCTTTAGAGCTGCCAAAATCAAATCAAATTTCTATTAACATTTTAGACACTCAAACTCTGCTAAAAGCTCTCAGCATCAAGTGTTTTTTTCTTACTTTCTTTTAGCTCACTGCTAAAGCGTTGCAATAACGTGTTTAATACGGTGAAAAAACTAACACTTTTAACAAATTCGCTATTTTTTCCTAGTACAATTTTTCTTAAATTTCAAGTAATATTGTCTCATTATATTGTCTAGCGCGCAAGCAAGTATAGTTGTTGATCAAACATGACAACAAAATAGACTTTACTAAATATTTGATGGAATCAATTTGTTGTGAACATTACCAAACGTCTCTAAATATCGCACAAAAGCTGACCAACAAACACTTTTTATTCAATGCGAGAAGAAAAGAGATGTTTTCGAGATATTTGATTAAATCCAATTTTCGTAAAACTTTACTTTAACAAGATGTTTTAGAAATGGTTGATGAAAAAAAATTTAGAAATCATCAAATATAAGAAAGGTTTGTCAAAATTGTTTATATACGCCTGGTCTAAAAGCGTTTCTTCCACAGAGAAGATTTTACCTGAAATTTCCCATTGAGATACAATTATGACACAAGCCCTCCCCTCTTTCCGGTCGCAACGTCCCTGAAAATAATGAAAGAGAAGCATTTGATTTCAAGTAAATATAGGTTCTACTGTTTGATCGATCTTGTTGTACAGAATATTTGATGTCATAATCGACAAATGGTTTTCAATAAGTATTTTCTATTCTTAGGACCGAAAGAAGATTGGATACCTCATTTATTCGATTGTATCTCAATGGTTGGACGCTATGAGATCAAAAAAGGCAAGATAAGATATTCCAATAAAATCTATGATACAAAGGCATCCCGCATTTGGAAAAAATACAACTACAGTATAGCAAAGGCTAAAATTAGCTGGAACACTGTCTATTCTCCAATAAATTCTTCTGCATACGAGAAAAACATGGAGATGAAATACAACGAGACATTATTTACCGCACCAAATGTTAATTTCTGGCAGTCCAGACCGGAAGATCCAGTTCTTGCAGTAACCGAGTCGATATACACTGCAGCAGAACTGAAAGTCACGCCAGAGCTCGATGTGCTTGGTAACTATCTAGGAAAGTTTCAAAATAAAGGATTTCCCAGCTTTTCTACAAACAACTTTATCTTAAGCCCTGCGCATGAACAACGAGAAAAAGATGGAACTATCTGGCATTCAACAGTCGACATTGAAAGAGCCTCTCCAACAAAGCTTGATGACCTGGAAGCTGCCATCATTGTTTACAAAATGAAAGGGCCTAACCGCACTGTAACTGGCCGCCATGTCCTTGGAAAGTACAACCTCACTAAATGCAGTTCAGGACTGAGTCTGGACGACATCAAAATTATGCCAGGGTATTACCACTACCTAGAAACAACAAGCAACTACATTATAGTCCCAATGTCTTCCTATCTCTTCGATTATTGTCAACACTATGCCAATAAAGGAAAAATAATTGGGTATTTTCCACGCTCTTTCAAATTCTATCCAAACTTTAACTCAAGCCTTCTCTTTTTTGATCGAAATAACATGTCAAATGTGCACAGAGTATATCTTCCCTTCGCGAGATTCTTCACTCACAACCTGAATGCCTTTGAAGATAGCAATTTCATCTACTTAGATACATTGGCCTATAATAACACTGATCTCTATGTAAAAATATCTTCGCTATATGAGATTATGAATGGCTTCAACTGGAGTGCATCATTTTTTCGTATTGCAATCAACAAGAATACATGGTCTTATGATCCTTCTTTGAGTGGCTCTCTCACTCAAACTGAGCCCTATGGAAAAGCCGAATTCACACAGATCAATTATGATAGATTTCATAACAAAGACTACACATACACTTACTTTGTCAGCAACCCTGGAACTCAAGAACCTCGTATTGCTAAGCTAAACGTGAAGACAAAAAAAGTAACTTACTGGATTCCAACAGTTGGATTTTATCCGCAAGAGCCTGTATTTTTGCAACCGGACGAAGCGGTTGGTGAAGATGAAGGCGTAATTTTATGCTCCGGTCCTGTTTCTGATACAGTACCATCTTCAAGCTTCCTAGCTGTTCTCAATGCAACGGACATGAAGCTTATTGCAATGGTGAAGAATCCCAATACTGGCTTAATAGGTATTCACAACAGATTTTACAAGTCACGTGTCCCAGCAACAAGTATGCCAGCAACAAAAGCGCCAGCAACAACAGTTAAAACCAAACCAAAAACAACCCAGTCATCATCTGGAGTTTCTCTTTCCATTATACAGGGCATCTGGATTATTGCCGCTATTAACCTTTACAGTTTTTGTTAAAGGCAAACTTTTTGAACGGAACAAACACAAAAACCGAGTCCCTATTAACGTACAGTTGATATTTCTGGATTCGTTAATTTTCTAAAAATTAGCTTTTGCTTATTTAGAAGCGCATGGCTATGTCAATGTTATCTTTATTAATTAGCTCTTCCTTGCAATGAAACATTTCGAGATTTACGTACAAAATAACTTTGTGTTTATAATAGCCATTGATATTGCCACTCTCACTGTATTAGAGAACTTCCACATTGTAACGGATGCATTGTAATATTATTTGGAGTTGATAATATCCATTACTGCTTATGATATCCATTGCTTTCGATATCATACAATAGTGATGATATCTAATAAATCAAAGAGGACAATGAAACATCCAATAGAAAAATTATTATTTGTCACTAACAATCTATGAGATTTATAATGAGTAATTTTTGGATTAACAAATTAAAAGATATTTTGAAAACGGGGCCCCAATCCAACCATTTGAAAATTCCAAGAGTAATTAACAGTGAAACTTCTTTTTTATAAGAGCCTTGATACTGAAAGGAAATGTCAATTTTTTTTACGTGGATGATTCTTGTCAGATTTTGTAGAGCTGGTAAATGGAATCTGAGCGTCCTTAGCTTGGCGATACGCTCAACAAGATTGTAGAGATTGGCATCCTGCCAGGAAAGACCATTTTAAGGCAAGAGATATTCAAGAGATAGATGCATAAAAATCTGGGCAACAGTTGAATAATATACCATCTTCCAGGGGCTTTTATGAGATTTCAATTTCTAAGGAGGTATTTTGCTCTAGACATTATGTATATATACTCAAGCTTTATATCAACATTTGATCGATTAAGTAATTCTAGTAAGTAATCCTTATTCTTTTGTGTCCAAAAGCTTCAAACTTGACTATAGTCGCATTTCTTTAATATTTGTTCCAGGTAACAAAACAAAAACCGTTTGCAAATAAAGATAAGATGGTTCTCAGAATATTTTACCATTGTCAATCATAAGACTGAAGGTGGCATTCTTTCATCATTTGGATCATTTGTTTTTGGGCTGTCGGTGCGCCAATCGCAAAGACGGTCATAACTAAAACCCCAAACGATTTTGAAAGGGAAGAAGAGCAATGGTCTTCCTCTACTGACTATTAACAGCTTGTTAATGCACCAAAAGTGGCAAGTCATACAACCATTAACTAATGCACGAAGGAAACAAATAGAAAAAAACATGCATGTAAAACCTGAACAATGCCTAAACATGGGTTAGGTTGGCAGGGTCGCAAACGAAAAACCTTCGCTCTCCACTGTCTAACTTCAGATTGTCTCGAAACGTGTTAGGATGAAACTATGCCAAAATAGAGTTTATATAACTATGGCCAAAGTGACAGTTTGATGCTTATTCAAGCACTGCTACTGTAAATACAAACTACGATCGTGCAATCTGTGCCAAAAATAAAGCCTAAGAGGCACGCAAAAGACGTACCCTGCCGCATATTAAACGTGACTAAATTTCAGTTAATCAAGCTTAAAACCAGACTTAATATTCGATTGTATATGTAAGTGATATGTAATGTATACTTTGACTGGACAATGAAAATGAAAGTTTTGTTGAATTTACATTGTTTTCTGAAAATAATATCAATATTGCACGTAAATTGATTTGCTTTTGAAATGAAAAATTTTTGTGTTTATAGAATGTTCCAATTCTGTTTAGAACAGAATATCAACGTTGTCACTACGTTTGATTTGCAATGAGAACGTAGCTTCCGTTGAGAAAACTCTTCCAACTAAATCATACTTTGCAATATCCAACAGATAAAAAATTTGTTCTTTAGATATCATCCTTTTGAATAATAACCTTCCATGACATGAAAACATAACGGTTGTCACATTCAAGTTTAACCAAAACTCATTTGAATCAACCAAACTCGAAAAGGAAAGATTTTTTCAAACACTTGTAGTAGCAGATGGTCTCTTTAAACGTAATTATAAGTGCTTAAAGACTCATTGCTAACAATGAGCCATTGCGCTGCGCAAGCATCCCATAATGCATTTTCAGACAGTCTTGAATCAATTTTTGTTAATCCGTAGAAGTTTACAGCCATTGTTTGGATCGTCGCCTGGACAGTATCAACGCGCGCAAAGGCTCATTGTTAGCAATGAGTCTTTAAGAAGTAACAAACATAATCTTTTTCCCTTAGTTTTAACAAACAAACAAATTTTTGTACTAAACGTCTATTGTAATATATGTCGATTAGGCTCATATTTGAACAGTCACAGTGATTGGCGATAAGTTAATAGCTAAGTTAATTGCCTTATAATTGTAAATATACGTCCTGCTTCAAAAGCATGAGAATTTTCATCCGGATATAGATTTATCTTACAAGAAAATTAGAACGTTAGATTATTAGGTGTAGCATGATAACGACTACTTAAGTTATACAAACATCAAGTAAATACAGTTTTGAGGAACTGTAACGATATGGCTTTTTGTTGTGACTACATGGGCTAGGCCAATTCTAGCCACAACTGTCACATAGAATGAGTCTGGTACCCAAGATAAACCATTCTTAGCCGGGGGGGAGGAGGGCAAATCTTTGCCTAAAAAGCGTAATGGATCTTTTGGATTTTCAGATTTTTGAAAGAGTGGGAACAACTTTTGAGGGTTTTTTCAAATTTTTTAGATTTTTCTTGAGATTTTATTTAAGGTTTTTTTATTTTTCATCTTTCATTTCTGGATTGGTTTTCAAGTGACATAGTACGCTTGGCTGGAATTTTGCCTTGTCGGTCTTTTTTAAGCAAATATGAATTAAAATGAATATATGAATTAAAAATTTCGGGTAGTGGTTCTTATTAAGGTTCTTAAAACCTGCAATCGTGGCCAAAACTCCTTGACACTGATTTAAAAGTTCGGCATGCTATCAATTGTTCCCAAGAAAAATGTGGACATATCAATGTCTCCCTTCCCCCCTATATCAATGTTGGTGTCGTTTGACAGCTAAATGTCCCAGCATTCGATTTTAGCCCATACAAACACCCCAATATTGATGTAGGGGGTAGGGGATCACGTTGAATAGGAACCCAATTGCATTTGGGAAGCAGTCTCACGAGTTTTGGCCAGGATTGTGGTTCAGACAGATGAGTTCTCAATCACAAGAAAAATTCAATTTAACAATGGAAATGAAACTTTGGGCAACCATGCTACTGCTCTTTATTGAGTACTTTTTATATTGAGTCCATTATTAAGTACTGAGCTCTTTATATCGCTATTTACTTCTAAGGAGACTCAATGGTAATTGGAATTTACTGAGCATACCTTATTTAAAATTTTGAGATAACATTCTCTGTTTACGCTAAAATATACTCATTTTCCTCATTTTTTCTCTTATGCAAACATTAAAAATTGTGTATTTATTTTGAAAAAAGACTCTCGTGCGTTTAGCAACTTCCATAAACGAACCTAAAACCATTTTAGGGTGAGTTCTGTTCTTATTCAAGGGATCAAAACTTGCAATTCGAGGTAAAGGTTTTTTAAAATTGATGGTTCTTTATGCAAGGCAGGGTTGTTTTAACGTGCAGTGCCACAAAAAATGTGCAGTTCTAAAAAATTTTTGTGCACTTGTTAACAGTAGAGGCCACTGGGACATAATTTCAAAAGGTAAGGAACCAAAACAAGTAGGGAAACAGCCCTCTACACTAGCATTAAAAAGACATGAAAAAATTGATAATATAAAAAACGCACACTTGGAGACAATTGGGTGGCATCCCCCAAGAGTTCTGAACCTGTTCTTAACATGGCAAATCGGCATTTTTGTACCTACTTGGCAAACTGAGTGACATTAATTAAAAAATAAATGACAGTCGATTGTATATTTGATTGTTTCTATTTTCATGTTGATTTAATCCTCTTCGCTCCTTGGCGCGTTGATAGCTGTTATATGGCAAACCGAAGCCAGTGAGAGCCCAACTCCAAATTCGAAAATTTTCCCACCTTTGCCATGGTGCCGCCTCAGGTAGTAACTTTCGTGTACTTTTTTATTGTGACATGAGCATCTGCAAAGCTAGCAGACTTAACCTATCTAAGTAAAAATGGATACTATTCTTTGTAATGATTTAATGACCTTTTTTTATTACCCGGAAAAGTTTAGAAATCTTGAGAATGTAAAGAATAATTACTGAGAAAGATTGCAAAGAACTTCCGTAATATATGTCTTTTGTCTTTTTAGGGACATTCTTTCACAAATGCGAGTCCTTCACAAGAAATAATAATCCCGCTCTAAAGAGCTGCTCTTTCTTGTTTTATAAATTCGTGTCCTGTCAAAATCTTAATGTGTTGGTGCCTTTAGAACTGGGACTCCATGTTTTCTCTCCGATTGCCCAGCCCCTCCGTCGGAGAATTTCTAGTGCCATCAATGCTTTCAGTGGTGCTAGAAAGACATTAAGGTGTGGTAGGGACGGAATGAAAAATTTGGCAACACTTTATAACCGTCAAAAAATGTCTTTTTAGCCAAAGAGAGTACCTTTTTTTACCAGTAGGATACCCTGAAGACTAACCATTCGGTTACACAAAATCAAGTAAAATAATTTTCATCGGAATGCGACGAAATTCAAAATCAATCGTACACGTTCATTTCATTTAACATCACAAAAATCTACGCTCGTACGTCAATGTTCCTATATCTATAACTGTAATTTTCTCTCTTAATAGATGTAAACAAAGATTTTCTACGTTTCCCTTAAATTTTTGCTTTCAAGTTATGAATAAACATTGCTTTGTTTCCTTTCAATTTCCACAATGTTTTTTTACATTTTCTCTGCTCCATAAGATTTTCACTGTCACATTATCAATATGTGTTGTTACAGGCGCCGGGGAGCGTTGAGAAAGGTGGGGGGTCTAAAAAAGTGGGGGGTCTAAAGAAGAAGGGGCAAAAACCGTATAAAAAGAGGCTTTCCAGGTAGTTGAGTTTATTACTTAATATTTGGAATTTTCTGGAAAAAGATGGTGGGGGGGGGTTGGAGCCCCACAACCTCCCTGTTCCATGGTTCCAGTGGTAAGAATAAATTTTAGCCAATACTTTCGCTTTGAGAGACCGGCGCTGACAGTCACTGTTGGCTTTTGCTTAAGGTAGGGGTATCCCAAAGATTTAGCGAATTTTGACAATTATATTGAAAATTGTATTTTTCCATTATATATGACAGAATTTCATAGAGAATTTAACTGTGACATTGGTTTTGCAATATGGTAAAGAGAAGATAATAAAAAACCCTATTTTCCATGCCCACCCATTTGTTTTATTCTCTTAGCAACAAATTTTGCCCTTAGTTACCAGAATTTTGCCCCAAAACCCCACGTTTTTCTGACTTGGAAAGAACATGATTCCCACCTTAATATTAAAACCACCTTAGGAATGTTTCAAAACGAGGACAGGCACTGTCCAAAGTCCAAAGCGTGTCTTCTTGTCTTCAATCGTTGACTGTGTTTGAAAGTTGCAAATATTTATCGTTGATTTGGGATTACGTTGCGTCTGGAAGTCACACACATTCATCGTTTTTGAGTTTTTTTGTACAAGAATTACCAGCTTCGAATAATGGGTGATGGAAATAAAAGCAGGAGTCGAGGTAGAAAGAGAAAAAGGAGAGTCAGAGCAAATCAATTTTTAGGCCATAAATCTCCCAACAAAGAATCCGGGACGCCTGCTGAATCCTTTACCCAGGATAATGTTGATACTTCGACATCTCACAAAAAGATATACTCTGGGTCAATGTTAGAGCAGCCAAGCACTACCAATGAACCAGTCAAAGAAGGGTTCATTTTGATAGACTTATCAATTTTGTGCCAGTTTTTTGAGTTAAACGTCCCTTGCCAAGAATGCAAACAACACGCATTATCATGTAGACTTGCCGTTGAAAAAAAGTCTGGATTCTCTCACATTTTGCAGTTGAACTGTGAAGCATGTGAATTTCAAAGCACCCTTGAAACATCAAAAAAGGTTGAAGGGACAGGGTCTGGAAGGGCATCAAATGAAGTCAACCTTCGAATGGTTTCATTTGCAAGATCTATTGGAAGAGGATATAGTGTTCTGGAAAACTTTTCTGCCTGCTTGAATTCTCCTCAGCCCATGACAAAAAAAAATTACAAGAAAGCCTTTTCCAAAGTATTAGCTGCAAACAAAGAAGTAGCCAAAGAAAGTATGAAAGCAGCAGCAATAGAAATAAAAGCAAATGGGGTTTCAAAGTGTGCTGTTTCCCTAGATGGCAGCTGGCAAAGGCGCGGTCACTCAAGCCATCATGGTATTGTAAGCTGCATAAGTGTAGAGACTGGAAAATGTATAGACATTGAAGTCCTGTCAAATTTTTGTGAAGGATGTGCTTATTGGGAAGGTAAACCCAAAGACACAAGGAAATACATTGAATGGCAGGAAAAGCACAAATGTAAAAAAGATCATGATGGCAGTGCAGGGGCTATGGAGCCGATTGGGGCTGCACGTATTTTTCTGAGATCAGAAGCAAATCATGGGCTTCAATATCACAAATATCTTGGTGATGGAGATTCTGCATCATTCAAGAAAGTCAGCCAGTTGAAGCCATATGGTGAAGAATGTGGTATTGAGAAGATAGAGTGTGTGGGACATGTCCAAAAGAGATGCGGAGGACGATTGAGGCGTCTCAAGAAAGAATATAAAGGGGTAAAGTTATCTGATGGGAAAGGAATTTCTGGTGTTGGTAGATTAACAGATAAAACCATTGACACCTTGCAGAATTATTATGGGTTTGCCATCAGACAGAATGTTGGTAATTTAGAGGCAATGCAAAAGTCTGTTTCTGCAATTTTGCCACATGTTGCATCGACTGCCCGTAACAAAATGCACTATAATTGTCCAGATGGTCCAGATTCTTGGTGTGGGTACAAAAGAGACCCTGATTCTTTTAAGCATAAAACAGGTCTCCCAATGCCAATTTATAATCTAATCAAGCCAATTTTTGATGACCTAGCATCTCCAAACTTGTTGAAGAAGTGTCTTCATGGCAAAACTCAAAACAACAACGAATGTCTCAACAAGTTGGTTTGGGATAGGTGCTCAAAAGAGTATTTTGTTGAGAAGGATGTCATCCAAGATGCTTCTTACAGTGCTGTGACACATTTTAATGATGGGAAAAAATCTGTTTTGAGAATGTTTCTAAAAATGAATATAACTCCTGGAAAATTCACAGAACAGATATGCAGGACACTTGATTCAAGGCGATTGGTTAAAGCTGGGGAAAAGACAAGTGCAAAGTTAAAATCAAGGAGAAAATTATTAAGAGCTAAAAGAAAAGGGTTTGCAGACAAGAAAATGATAGAGGAAGGAAACCTGTATGAACCTGGTGGACATTAAAGTCTAATTTAACATTACATGCATCATAAACTTTTGTTTTAACTTTAAACACATTTTTCTCACGTTTATGAATTTCTGAAAATGGTCGGGTTTTGTTGCAGAATATTTTGAAAACCACTTGAGATATTTTGATGAAATTTTAAAACTGGATAGTAAATGTATGGTACATGGTATTGACAAAATTAGAATCTCAGTTTCAAATTTCCTGTTTTTGAAAATTTCAATTTATATAATGGATAACACAGCGATAACGATGAGTTTAGTAAAATAATTTTAAAAATTTTCCTGTATGTAAAAATAAAAAAGTGTTTCTTTGAATACTGAGCATTTATGATTGTGAGTAAAAATGCAAAGTTTGAACATGATCAGTCTTGCCATTCCAGAAATATGTTGTCATGATTATTTGCAATTTTTTGGCAATCGGCAGCCATTTTGAAAAGCTAATTAGCATAATTAATTTGAAATTTTTTAAAAGTTGCACTAAAAGTATTGATTAATCATGGGAATCAAGATTGAACCTCCCCTGTATAAGTTTCTATGTTTTTTTTCTTTTGGGACCCCCCTACCTTAACGATCTGAAAGGGAAGTATGGGCGGTATCTTTGTAATCATAAGATTATTAACCTGTAACCCCTGTAAGGAACCTTAACCGCAGAAAGAAAAGCCTTGGTAAAAATCTTCCGCATTTAAACATTTCCTTAGTTTACACATTGTTTTACATGTTGACTCTTCCGTAAACACATATTTCAAATAAGGAAGTACTTTGTAAGGAAAATAGTACTTGGATATGCAAAAAGTTTAGGAATTTCCTACACATGATAGGCTTTGCAGCGTGTCTATTACGTATCAAGAAAACATTTATAATAAGAGAATTTCATACGTATCAAGTATATAAATTAAAGTTACACTCTTTTCTTATAAGAACCAGTAAATTTAAGTTCAGGCTGACTGTTCTTAATTTCTTCGAAAATCTTAGGCTGGATTGTTCTAAATTTGTTCTTAATACGGTGTAATCAGTGCGAGCGCTAACTTTTCCGCTTTAGGTAAGTGCTCGATTCTCTTTTGCAAACAAAGTCATTGAGACAACATTAATTTGCTAACAGGTTTGAATATTCACCGAAAAAGCACCCACACATCTCTAGAAAATTCTCGATTTTGAGAAAAAACGTTGTTCAAAATTGCATTTTGGAGAAGCTCGGCCTCAGCTTGTTTTTAATTTGTTCATAACTTTTGACCAGTTTTGAGGCTTGTTTCCATATAAAATTGTTCTTGTAAAAAAGAGTGTATTTTATATAAAAACAAAAACTACACATCTAACCAAATTACTTTATAAAGAAGCTGTGACAGAGGAAACTACTCTAGCTACAGATGCCTTGTATATGGATGAATTGAAGCAAATTGTTTTAATGAAAACATTCCTCTTATAATATTCTATTATTCTCCACTTAGATGCTTTGTAGCTTGAAGAGTAATAGCCGAAAACATAAGACTGATGAACGGGTAATGATAATAGCTCTTAACTATTATCAATAAACTTTTGTACAACTTTATTAATTAACTTTTATAAAAAATTTATAATATCCTGCAATAAGAATACATAAACATATAATGGTTTCAATCCATAAATGAATGCCTATATAACTTTAAAAAGCCCCAAATTAAAAAACAAAGCCACAGTACATAATATCATGGTTTAGTATCATGTCATATAGATGAAGCCAAATTTTGAACTGAATCCCCAACAAAATACTGCCAAACTTGCAAAAATTTAAAAAACAAATCTGAGAATTTTCACCGTTTTGATGACATTTGCAAGGAATGCATATTCAACAAATTAAGTAGTATTTCTTAACGTCAGTGTAGCTAGAAACTGTAACAACTGAACACAGAAGAGAAAAATCAAGCTGTATGTTTGAAAATTATTTACCTGCTGTCTAGCAAAATAGCTACGTAGATAGGTGCGCTCTATGAATTGTAGGATATTTGAAGTCTTATTAATCGATGTTGCTGCATTTGCTGAAAAAAGTCTATTGGCCGTTGCAAAATGAAACTATACACCAATCTGACTTACTGCCTCATTTTAAAAAATTCTCCAAAATTCTTTTGTACAAAAATTTGACCTCAGATTCGAATTAAGAACAATAATTTTAGCCTACTTGGAATTTTTTATTATGGCATTGCTCATGATATTGATTTTATGACGATATAAAGATAAAAATTTATAAGGGATGTGACCGTGATTGGCGACTAAGGGGGTAAAGTTTCACCCGGAATGATATTTGCGGTCAAATCCCATATTCAAACTTTATTTCTCCGTAAAATATAAGGTACAAGCACAAACAATATGAAAAATTGCACCCGGCCTAAAATTATCGTGATAAAATAAAAGCTGAGCTTATAAAAGTCGTATAATTAAGTTTGAAGAAATCTCCACAACGAAGCCGTAAGTCGAATTTGTGTATTGACCTTTATGTAAAGAAAAGACTCGAAAACACCACTGAATAAACCACCTTCTATTTCATTTTAAATATCTATCAATCAATAAAGCACAAAGTTTCACAGCAATTTCTGCATTACAAAAATATTTGCCTTAAAAGCTCCATAATATTTCTGTACAACTAAAATCGTAAAAAACTATATGCATACAAGCATGATAATCTGTTAACAAGCAACGAATTTTAAAACTTTTCTAAGAAGAGACTTCATATTGATAACTTATCAAGACTGAATGGTATTCTTCTGCCATCTAATAGATAGAAATGATAATAAAAGGGATCCATACGCTGTGAAAGGATTGTATAGGATCCCTTTTCAGAATCATAAAGATTTCAGGGTAACCGCAATATCAAGATGCAGGGACTTGAACTACCAAAATTCTTTGTTATTAAACTCATATCCTTTATTATACGAATGCTCATTATTCGTAATTTCATTTTTAAGACTGCCTCCATGGTGTTTTCTGTTTCTCTTATTCTATTTCTTTCTGCTTTGGTTGATTCGGGAAGTTGAAAATTCAGAAATGTTTAAAAAAGATTAGATTTAGAATAGACTCGCAAGATTTGGACCGCAAGTTTCTTCCAAAATTTTTAACATTTTTCCAACCCATGATCTGTTTATCTTGAGGTTCAGTCTAGGATGCTTCGTGTCTTTCCGAGGCTAATCTTACTATCATCCCTAAAGGTTAAAGGGTACCTACGTGAGGAGTATTTTACAGTATTTTTTGGCTATATTCAACTTTTGGAAAATAGCCAACTTATAGAGACAACTTAATTTGGTCGATTAAATCTCTTTGTAAATTCACATGAAAGTAGCTTCACTAATATAAAAAATATGTGAGGAAGTAGGCTATGACATGAAAGGCAAATGTTTGAGAACCAGCTCGTTAAGCCTTACTTTTTGCAAGCAAGTTAACTTAATTTACTGTAAAAAAGAATGAAATGCGATTAAAAACGGTTAAGATAATAATAACTATGATATATGACAACAATGTTAAACAAAGTGACGATGAACTAAGCATAGCCAGCAACTACCAGCAAATGTTCTTAAAAAGGAAGTTTTATCATAAACAAGGCTTCCATCAGAAAAACTAACAATCTAAAGTCTTGCTTGCTTTGGCACATGACTCTTACAGTAGAGTTGTCTTTCTTTTGCAAACGAAGTCCAGCATATATCCTATCGAACTTGCTATGCTTCTGCGTTCCATTGGAAATGGCAAAATCTTCGCTTGTCACATTGACGATATCTGTGCATCAAAAATTCAGTAGTCAAACTCCATTTCGTTACCCAGAGTTTTCTTTTATAATTGGATTTGGAATTGTGAATAAACTCAACAAAGAAATAAAGTGCAAAAAATTAGAAGCTTCGTGGCACTGCAAAGATTGTTCTTTTCAATATCAAAAATTTTTCTAGACAGGGTTGGTAGTAATTTTCAGTCCTGGGGTCAAATGTGGCACTTACGGCAAATGGCAACAATCCTTCTATGAATTGACATACTTTCTTGGAAATATTCTAAAAGTTACAATAATCATGTTTCTTTTTTTTGTGTCGTAGTGAACGTTTTTGGGGCAAAAGACAAATTTGATTGCTAAAGTGACGAAATTGGATGGAATTGAAATTTTTAGCATAAGATTGGGACAAATCTCTGGTATTTTTTTTGGTACGATGCAAAAAAATTACTATATTCAAATTGGTCTATGGGTAATTCGTTGCTGCGCCTAAGAAGCTTAGAAACAAGAACAAAAATTTACAGCAGCCACATCATAGACAATTATTTACTCATTCAATGACACAATTTATTTATTGAACCCCAACTCTTAATCTTTAAGGTGGCCATTTCATGGCTAGTTAAAGGAAATATACGTAATACAAAAACAATGGGAATATTTGTACTTAGTTATGATGCATTTCAAACAATTAGATAAAACAAGTATTTCAACAATAGATACAAATCTGATGACAAAAATTGTAGCAAAAATCTCCAAAAGCGATCCACTTACCATTCAGATAAAGATCAAAGGTCCTAAACATATTGGAGTCAATGTCAAACTTTAACTTATTCCCTGATGCACTGAGTCTCACTGTTCCGGCACGTTCTATTTCTTTGAATACTGAAAAACAAGCAGTATGCAGTGGCGTGATTTGCTGACGAGAGCATGGAGTAAGACAGTGTTGTTTCTGTTTAACATATCATTAATATAACTGCTGACAAACTCATGAACGTTTAAGATTCGACTCCTGTAAAAGGTTTGCCTGAATTTAGTCACTGTTTCATTTAGAAAATTGCCCTTAACACCCATGTAGCCAAAATTTTCAGAAGTGAACTCCTGAACAAGGCAATGATCGCAAGTTCTAGCGCATCTACTTGTTCTAGGCAATAAAAGCTTATCCAATTTTGCCATCACTCCAGCTTCCTTATGGTGCTAGCAACCTATTTTTTTATTGCAACTTTATCGTCTTAACAAGTTTGCAACAAGATTTTGATATTTTATAAGAGTACTTTACGATCAATTCAATTTCACTTTTATTCTGAAAGTTCTGAAAAGTATAAAAAACTTACACTTCTTTCTTGATACAATTGCTCTCAGCCCGCGGTTTTTGAACAAAGTTACAGTTGATGTATGGTTTGAATTCAATGCAATTCGGCCAACCATTGGAAAGAGCTGCCTGTATCGTAGCGATGCGAAGCAAGCCAAGGCTTTGCCAACATTAGGGGCGTGGCTCTGATCCATCATGGTGTAGTGATTTCCAGGACATTTGACAACACTGATTTGTTTTTCTAGAACTGATGACCAACAGTCTGGGGCGGAACCAACGCCTATTTGACAAAAACATTTGATGTCACCTCCACGATCACCAACAGGATTGCATAGGCAGGTTTCAGCTTGCACGAAGAGGACGTGTTCGTTGTAGAGATTCTACAAATAAAATTTGTTTTCTTTACCTTATTTTTGTAAATTACAAGGTATTGAAGGCCAAACATGTAAAAAAATTTTAATGTGTAAGTTTTATTCCCTTCTTATAATGAAATAGCAAAAATTATTTTGGCCAATGCGTTGTAACTGCAGGAACTGGCGCTACGTATTTGTCAAAAATGTGTAGGTTGTTGGTCTTCCCGCCAAATGTTTGGTCTTCCCGCCCCATTTTTGGTCTTCCCGCCGAAACTGACAATAAAGTTTGTCAAGAACCTTTTTCAATAAAGGAATGGGCTTGAATTGATAGGCTTGGTTGCTTAAAGAGACTTCGGGTCTCTAGGACTCATGTGTACTCCTTTTCCATTTTGCACTTCCTCCCCCATGCATTGCCACTGACAGCCTAATTGCTCGCGCTAGGTCAGTAATACGTCCTAATTCAGTCTAGTTGTTGAGATGAGCCATGAAGTTTGGCAAAACCGGTCTACGGACGACTGTTTGAGGGGTCAGTTGTTTTCTTTACTTGATAACTTCTGAATTGATATCTTGTTGTTACATTAACCTGTGGTCACTCCTGGCTGAAGTCTGCAAAATGCAATCTTTCAAACAACGTTTGTCAAAAGATGTCAAATTCCAAGAAACTTCTGAATTTGGACCACATAAACATAAAAGTTTCACGAAATGCCTATTAATGCCTATGTACCAAAAATATGACCGACAACATAAGATAACATACGATAACATAAGGATTGGGCATTTTCTAGCAAAGCACTACAGTTGGAGATTGGTTCTAAAATCTATAAACTAGGTTAACGCCTTGGCAGAACTCAGCTATTTTTCCCCCTACTCTTTGAAAATTTATAACAGATTTAAGAAGAATTAACGAATACATGTCCTGGTTTTCTGAAGATAATTTTGAATTCCTTATGATATTTATTGAATTAAAGTGCATGCAAGGAGAAAGATGTTTGGCGAAAAAAACAATTTTATCATGATTCGTTGGCAATGCATCCTTTAGCTCTCTATAGCCAATTGTACCTTATTAGAAATTCATTGATATTTGCAGATAGTGTAGTGAATTTCTTAAAATATATATCTTCGCTGAATAAGTTCTTCGTCATAAAAATTGATTGGACTATTATTTTTCAAAATTTAGTCGTAAAATCAATAAATTTAAAGTGTTAAGAAAACTTTTTATGATATAATGTATGTATGGTTTTACAGAGAGCAAATTCTAGCTAATTATAGATCAAAAATACGTTTTAAATTCGTCGTTCTTTTCTAGTTAATTAAAGAACTAAAAGCATAATTATTTTCTTGTTGCAGCTATAGACAAGATAGAGCTTACCAGGCTTTCCTTGCTTCATTAGATCAATTTTTGAAATTCAATTCTATTAAGTCTACTGTACATCTCTTGCCCTAATGTTGATACTTTTGTTTAACTCCCCTCCAAACTCATTGTGCAACAAGGTTTAAATTCTTACCTCTCTTGGGATCCATTCATGATGACAACGTTTTGACATCTCTTGGTCGTCAATGGTACCCTGGAGAATTTTATCTAGCTTTGGAACTTCCCGTGACAAATTCATAGCTCTTTCATTCAAATGGTTTGCAACATCCTCAATCGGCATTCTTTGAACAAGCTCACCAAACTCTGCTTGAGTCATCTGCAGTTGTGTGGTAGCAATTTTGGAAAAGAACCCTTTGAGCTCCTCCTGAAGTAAAAGAATTTAGTTTTATCAGAATAACATATTTTGAAATTGTTCTCACCATGCTAAGAAATAAGATCAGTGTGACAAAGACTAATGGAGAAAAGAGGAGCATTGCTTATCATAATCGTCGCATGCATTTTCTATTAGACCAAACTTCAAGCTCTTTAAAAATGTGACTCTAGTCTGAAATGTACTCACGTGGAGAATGTTCTTGTTAATAAGCTTAGCGCTAAACCCTTCCATTAAGAGCTGGCAGTTGCTTTTAGCCTCTGGTAACCAGCGTAATGAATCTATCATAGTAATCATGGCAATCTTTTTCCCCATCTCCTGTAGAATTGATGCTATTTCTATTGCAACAAGACCACCAAACGAGTAGCCTCCTAAGAAATAAGGTCCTTGAGGCTGCTCCTCAAGTATCTTTATTGTGCAGGCTATTGCAAGTCGTCGAACTGACTGGATGTCCTCACCAATATAGCTCGGATCAGGTGAACCGAATACATACAAACTAAACAGCTCCTGGAAGATGACACGAAGGTATTAACACGAGTTTGCGACTATAAAATTGTCTGTGAAAATGGCAAACGACTTCATTAGCGAGAAAAAAAGTTCTAGTAACATAGAAACCTGGTATTTCATGCCAGCAGCCATGCCACGAAATATTCCAGCATAACGGTGAGACGGATGAACAATGAAGATTTTTGCTTTGGCATCGGGGGGATCATAAAAGCAGTTGAGATAATCTTCGGGTAGAACAAGATTATTGTCCATTTCAACAGCAGGAGCAATTCGACGGAACGAGTTGAAGAATCGACGCGAGCTCTCCCGCCTCTTTCTGAATGATGCATTTCCTAAGAGTAACAGAATAAGTTTCGAATAAACCTTTTAAATAATAAAGTACCCATAGACTAAATTGATTTAGAAAGGGAATTTAACGGACAGAAACCTACAAATGAGTTACCTGGTTCGTTAACCTGTTCGGCGTCAGTTTCTGCTAGAACAGATTCATTTATTCTTTTCACAAGTTCTTTCGTTAGACTAATAGTCGTTGTCTCAGGGAGCATGAAGTAAAATACCTGAGTAAACAAAAGTCGATTTACAAAAGAATTGAAAAAACCTTGAGCTCTAGCAAAGTCTTTGAAAGCAAAAACTATTGAAATTAACTTGAAAAAAGAATAAGAAGACGTTTTTGTATTGGCAAAACTGTTTAGTTACCTCCAAATCCACATTGAAATGCTGAAAAATTTGTGCCTTGAAAATTGCAGCCCCAACCGAATCAATACCATATGTAAAAAAGGGAACATTACAATCGACCTCTTCTTCACTTCCACCAATCCACTTAGCAAGCCACCCAGTTATGAATTTTGTAACAATCTCGGATTGCCTTTCTACTGATGCTTCCTGTTTTATCAGTTCTAGCAATGCAACCCCACTGTCATTAATCTCTTCTGGTAGATCTTCCTGGATGTGCTTAAACATTGTCATATTGCCTCTTTGCATTGTCTTTAAGTATTTGGCCCAGTCAACGTCACATATGCAAACGGTGGACTTCGTTGGTGTTTCCACAAGAACTCGCTCCAACCATTTCAGTCCTTCAAGAGAAAATTAGATATCTTCTATAATGGAAATTGTTGTCAGTCTAAACGGCAAGTCTAAGTTGATTGAAGTATTGAATATCTCAACTCAAATCAGCTAGTGCTTTATTTAATTTTTGCTTTTTTTGTCCCTTATTGATTTCATTTATCGGTTCAAGAAAGTCGGATGTTTCTAAACAATGTGAGAAACAAATTGAATCTCCGTCTGCGGCTTTGTTGTTGTTTTCGTGTAATTTTCTTTTTAATCTTGATTTTTCTATGATATTTCTGACAACTATATCTCTATGATGGTAAACTGTTTGAGAAAACTAGTATTAACCTTTCGAGCCCATCTTTTATTTTGAAACCATTTGCTACATCTACATTGCGGCAAAAAGCAATCGGGTTGCAAAATATAAGAACGTTACCTGTATTTATGTCTAGAAGGTGAAGACCAGTTTCTTCTAGCAAGGTTGCAAGTTTAGCATTATCCTGCAGCATGCCTGCCCCACCCATTGCTCCCCAGCAAACGGCAAGGCAAGGTTTTTTTAGAACTTCAGCACGATAATCAGCAAAGCTGTTTAGGAATCCATTTGCTGCTGAATAGGAAGTTTGTCCACTGTTTCCTATTATTGATGTTATGGAGGAGTAAAGCACGAAGAAGTCTACGTTCTCCATTCGCTTCTCCAGCAAACTATGAAGCACCAAAGTTCCTATAAAGAATATCGAATGTGAAATTGTTTTCAATGAAATGATGTTTGTCCGTACAGATGATCCTTGAAGAGGCGTGTTTCGAGAAAAATGGGAATTTGATCGACACATCGAGGTTTTCACTTAACGAGGCTTACACCTAAACATTCTTCCAATGCCACAAAATTGCGCGTTAACTGATATTCCGCTTTAAAAGGTAATTTGGCAATATATATGCAAAGACTATAATATATTCTCTGAACGCAGATTTCGAAAAAGTAAATACACAAGAATGGTTGATCAGAATAAAATACAAACTCCATGCAAACTGAAGATCAAGGGTGAGTAAGCTTTCAAATTTTTTAAAAAATGTCATTCAAAATGGCAGAAGAGACATATGTTTGATGGTGTTTCTATCTTTGCAGATTTTGTTCGACTGAAGTGAAGTTACTTCTCGAAGGTTGGTGGAAATTCGATCGAGTTTTGGCGCATCTGATTTTAGACTTATCTGGGGTTATTTCTGTGCACAAAGTATGTCATAACCAAAAAAAACAGAAAACAAAAGTTCGACTTAAGCAATAGTTGACTTATCAAGGTTCGATTGTATGTGAAAAATGTTTTCTCATCAAAAAATGCACTAAAACCCACTCCAGCCATATCAGTCCTTAAAGAGAACAAGCAAATATTTTCTACAATGGAACATTTTGTCATTAAAACTTCAATTAGACACATCAAAAATCTAAAAGTAAAGATAACCTACTTCATTAAGTTTATCAAGGTTTGACTGTATGTGAAAATGTTTTCTCGTAAAAAAATGCTCGGAAATGCACAGCGTTCCTTTAGTTGTACTTTGACAGAATGGTTAAAAGAATTTTTTCAAAAATTGTTCTTGAAACCTTAAGACAAAATAATTTTTTGCTGACAGGACCTTTGATTATTTTGCCTTATAATAGCTCTATGGAAAAGTTTCATGTAAAAATTCTACAAAGGAAGGCTGAATTTGGACTTAAAGGGAGCGTACAACACCGCTAGAAAGCTTCCCAATTCGCTCAACACTAAACAGAAGTACTAGCAGCACGGCTCCGTTAACCATAGTAAATGCAGTAACTTATTCATCATAAGTTGTTTCGGATGAAATTTTTAAATAATAGTTTGTCTACTTAGAGAACTTTTGCATGAGTGCCGGTCATACCAGTTACTTTTGGAGACATGACTCTCTTGTAGCTGCTAACATCTATATCCTGGAACGGTCTGTCATCCAAGACACCAGCACTGTTGACAACACCAGCGACCGGTGGAAACCTGTCCAGTTGGGCATCCAGGCGCTCTATCGAGTCGTTGTCACTGATGTCTAACATCAAATGCACAATTCGTACCCTGTATTTGTCCTCGAGTTGTTTGAATTTCGACTTGGTATCAGCTGGTGCATCCGATCTGCTCAGTGTTAGAATACAGCCTGCTCCTGTAAATACAATGAATGCATTAATTTTGATGGATTTCTCATAGAAAGGAAAAAGTAGCTAGTAGTTACACTTAACATTGTGTTAAATAAAGCCAACAATGTATCCTTGCTAATATGATTAACAATCGGCTTTACCTCTCGATGCCATCCATGCAACTGTATATAAGCCTATTCCTTTGGTTCCTCCAACTACAAGATACGAGCATTCCTCTTTTAAACCCTGAAAATCAATCGAGGGTTGTCGTATTTCTAGACATTCAGCGTATTTCATAAGAGCCAGGCAGCTGTAGGGCTTTTTAGCCTTCTTCATGCCGTTGGAGATCGAATTTGAAACTCCATCAAATTTGAGGGTTGTAATACCTTGGCACTCTACGGCGTTTTTTAAATCAATGCATAAAATTTGCCTCACTGTAGACATAATATCTTTTGGGCTTTTATCGCCGCCAAACGGCTGCAGTTTGATCAAATGCATTGATTTTGTGTGGCTATAGGTCTCTTTAGCCCGTATTTGCTTTGAATTTAAAACAGCAAAGATTCCATCTAGAAAATAGAAACACAAAAATGTTGATTTTAGCAAAAACTGATTATGCAATTTCAAATTTATAGCAGCAGAAACCTTTTATTGGCAATTAAACGTTAATGAAAAGATAAAAAGTGATTGAGCAAAATGTATCTACATTTACATTTTTCTACCCAAAACTTAAGACAACTGATTCAGAAACCCCATTCCAAATCTCTCACTTTTCTAACATAGCAAACCTTGTTGCCCATACTACTATAAACGGAAGTCAAAGTATAATTTATAAACACCCATCCTATAAATCATGAAAACTAGTTGGCTCTACAACTAATAAACTGCTCAGAACTTATGTAATATTACCACCATCCCTAACGTTTCCAATTAAATCATTCCTCCCAATTACATCATCACTTCCACAAAAAACAATCGTTTCAAATTGATTTGTCTTCTCTTTCAATACAGTAAAGAGCAAACTTTGATTCATTTCTACTCAACTCGAATTTTCAAAAAACGAACTTTGCTTAAAAATTTATATTTTTGTTCATTTATAGTAACCAACATCCCAAAATTTCTCCGCCAGATAATGTTGATGCAAAATGATGACAATTAACTAAATACAGTAAGTTGAACAATACTAAAGCTATAAGGATTATATAATAAACATCATTTCAATTGGAAGAGAGAGTTTTCTTTGACAATTTGTATGCTCTATTTTTAGACAAGCTCACTAACATACCTTCTACCAGATTATCAAAAATACCATCATGCTCATCCCACGAAAAATCAGAAGAGCACAAAATAACATCAAACTGCTCTCTGTTGCAATCATGGCCTGCTTCAGTTTGATTAAAGTTTGTGAATTCCTTAACGTTGCACGTTATTTCTTGGTTTTCTTGAGATATAAAAACACGAATGCCTTTTCTAACAACTTCATCTGCAATGGATTTAACGACTGCCTCGTCGAGTCCACTTTCAACCAACAGCATTGATCGGATACTTCCTCTGGCTTTCAAAATTCTTGATGTTATATAACTTGCCAAGTAAACAATTGCTAGAAGATAGATAAACTGACAGTCCAATACAAGCAAACTAGAAAGAAATAGCTTAAATGATTATTGCAAAAAATTTTGAAAGCTTTCAAACAGAAAACAGCAGCAAAAGGCTTTATGAAACATTTAAAATGTAATTGATTCCAGTAGTCAATCGACTGACTATCAACATGATTTTTCTGCGGTAGATTATACCATAAAGATCTCTTGAATTGAAGGTACCATAAACAAACTTGGCATTATCATAGATAAACGTATAAAAGAAAAGTGTGTCTAAACATAACTGAAATAAGAATTAAAGTTACTTCTTTACCTGGTACAATAGTAGCTTGTTCCAATGTCAAATATTTTGGTTTCAGCATAACTAATTCCATTGGCAATTCAACAACGCTTTTTATCCACTTGGTTCTCTGAACCCCAAAAACTTCGTCACCCACATTGAAATCAGTAACCCCTTTCCCAACTCTTCTAACAACCCCAGCAAACATCTGCAGTAAAGGCTGTGAATTATACGATTTTATGTTTTCTAAAAGCTCTTCACACCTTCCATTCTCAGATGATACATACAGCATTGTGACCTCAACGTTTTCATCAGGAATAACTTTAGGTTCGGAAAGGATTTCTTTTCCAAAGAACTTTTCGTCGGAATTTGACCAGGATAGGTAATAATTCTCATCAGTGCACTTTTTCGTCTCAATTTGCGAATTCTGAAAATAATTTATAATAATTTGTACATTTCTACAGTCCTTTATAGATAAACAGCTATCAACATCATAATTTAATTTGGCAGCATGAACTTCAATGTTAAAAGCAAACAACATTTAAAAAGTAAACATAATAAGGTTCACACAAAAAACAGGAACTTTTTTAAACTATTTTACTTTAAAAATAACTGCGCATCGATTCTTCCTCAAAGCTTATCTTATCTTATCTTACATACTTAATACGTGATTTATTTACTAGAGCTCTCTAGTGCTCTCTAAAGCTAGGCCTACAATATGCATGAGTGATGATATGACTGCAGTGGGAAGGCATATTGAGCTCAACAAATGATTATATCAATTTGCAACTGAAAGAATTTTGCTCATCAGTGCACTTCTTGGTTTCAAAGCGCAATTCTTATATTGAATAGTTTTAAAATCAATTTGACAATGAGCTGTTGTACCGTTCTCAACACAATGCTGTAATTGACAACTTTTAAATCTATAAATGCACCAATATCTCAAAAAAGATGTTTTTCTTTGTCACTGCTAAAAATTCTCTGGCACGCTTCCTCTTTTACAAAGGCTTTTTCAATTCAGTGTTGTACAGATTTTTTATCATCTTCCGACTTAAAAAAACTCTGGGTATTCCAAATTATCGGTATCTACAAGCATGTATGAACAGATTTCCGTATCACAAACCTTTGAATCATATTTCACAAGACATGGCTGCAGAATTTCGCCATTTCTTAAAACCATTCCTTCTCCAGCCGACGGCATATCTGAATATAAAATGCTCTTAATAACTGCATTTTTTTTGAAATCTTCTTTCAACTCAACACAAACGAGGGGTGTTTTGCTCTCTATATTCGTTGTGCGAGCCATTCCCCAAGAAAATCCAGACCAAGGTGTAATGATTCCCTTTCTTGTCCCAGAACCGTCTTCATTTCGGCAATTGAATGCTAATATTTTGCAGTTGCTCATTTTGTTACGATTGAAAAACTGAAGCAATTTCAAATTTGCTTCGAAGCAAAGCATTTCTTGAATTGCTCCATTTTCTGATTCCAGAGGTATACGGTATGTCAAGAATGACAGAAAATTCAATACGATCAATTGCCTTTTTTGCTGGCTTACAGCACCAATGGTCTCTTCAATGAAGTTTCCAATATCATCGCTTTCATCAATTTCTGCTATGATGAAATTCGTTCTTTGCACATTCATTTCTTGAAACGCTTCAAGAACAGTTTCAACGTAAGGCGCTTTTCTCTCAGCAATTACAACAAAGAACTGCTCATCTACTCTTGCTTTACTGCTATTTTGAATGCTTTGACGTTCCAAATTGATGTCATAAACACTGCCTTCCATTTTTGGATCTCTCTCAGAAACGGAATACTCCTTAACCTGGGAAAAAGCAGAAAAATATATATATTCAACCATTATGTTTTATGCTTAACGAGACGTGTTCATAAAAACTATTATTCGTTGAACTTTTCACTAAGTCATGAAACCGTATTGCTAACTTTGTCCAAACCAAATTTTCACTAAGCTCAAATTGGTAGCGAAATGGCACCCAGTCCAAATCTTAAGTTTATCCATACAGCATAAACACCATGAGGAGTTTGGTCAATTTCTAATCATTTTACCTGAAGCCCTGTGATTTTAATGATCACATTCATTTTTTCATCCATTAGTTTGACAACACACAGATTTGAGTCTTCTGCTATCAGCTCACAGAGGCAGTAAAGGTATTTTATGTCATCAGGCAATGCATTCAGTTTCAGCTCTTCGATTCCTAGAAAAAAAACAAGCACATCGAGTCTTTGTTTCGAAATTGAAATATGCTGAGGGAAAGAGTTGAGAGCATGTTTTTCTCCAAGTCATTCAACATTAAATACAAAAATTAAATTGAAGGTTTTCTCAGGAAAAAAGTGAAAATGAGAAAACCTACAGTATGGTTATTCTGTTGTGTGTCCTCGTCAGATCGATTGAAAAAAATGGGGTTCACCAAGGCAGTTTAAGTTTAAAGTAAATGGCTATACGAGCTATAGGGTATGGCTAGAAAAATATTGCCCTCACGAGGAAGCAGAAGAGAGAGCTTATATGAAGATTGGCTATTAAAATCACCTTAAATAGACACCTCACGCATTGAGGCTAACAGTATGCTCCTGTTTTTGAGTAGCAAAAGCTCATCTCTACAAACACACTGCTTAAAAAATGGCGGTGACACACTAAATAATGAAAGTTGGCAATCCTAAAATATAGAGTTGTATAAGTAACAAACCTGTCGGAATAATTCTCGGTGCTTTGTCTCTAGCCGGGGTTTCAACAACAAGCCTCGTTTGCAAGCAGGCATCAAGGATGCATGGATGAATGATGTAGTCATTTAATTCACTTCGAAGTTCGTCAGAAAGATTAAGTCTGACCAGTGCTTTGCGGTTTTTGATCCAAATGCATTCCATTAAAGAGAATCTTTCACCGAAATCAAAGCCAGTTCTTGCAGCAAAAGATTTATATTCAGATGTTTTGAGCTTATCTTCATGTTGGTGTAACCCAGCAAGATCCAAAAGCTGTGCATCTTCTTCGATTTGAAAATCCTCTTTGGGATGTTCCTTCTGATCAATAGTAGGGTAAAGACCATTTTTTGGCAGAATTTTCACATCGGGCAAAGAAATGATATCTCTTGGTGAGGTTTGTTTGCTTGAAACTACAAACAGACATTTTGCCGTAACAAATTATTAAAGCTTACAGTCATTAAAAAATTATAGCAAATTCTTAAAGTCAAGAACGACAAAAGGGGCTTTATAGTAAGGTTATATGTAGATATTAGAATAACATAAACTGTGAGTTGTGTTTAAAACAGGAAATTTTCAGAATAGACGGGAAAAATAATTAATGAAAGATGTAAATACCTGTAAGAAAAACCTAGTTTATTCTGGACTGATGCCTTTTTGTAAATTAATATTTACATGTATTCCTTTCCCCTTGCCATAGCATGCTCGTTTTGTGGCACATGTTTATATAAACACTTACCCGCATCTGCTAAGCATGCTGGTGATTCTTTGCAACCGTTCTTCTTTGACTCAAGATTTGCTGTAGACAATAGAATCTCCCCGTGTTCGGTTTTCTGGAGGATTTCAAAATCTTCTGTTTCTCCATCTTCTGAATTGCGCTTCTTGCACTCTAGCTTACGAACCGAGCGATCATCTATGGGAAGAGTCTTCTGGAAAGTGATGTTTCTAAGAGTTGTTGGCACAACATTCTTTCCCATCAAAAATGCTTCCAAAGCTAATTCAATGAAGCATGCTCCAGGCAATATTGGGCCTTTAAATGAAAAGACATCATGATTTCAGGAAAACATGGCAAAAAGTCCAAAGTCAGAAAAACTACTCATTTTAACGTCTCTGTCAAACTAATGCATGATTTGAAAAAATAGTATGCAAAAAGTATGAAATCTCATTGAGCTCGTGCGTTTTCTAGGCAAAAAGGAATCAAGTAAAAGTAAAAAGTAACAGTAAAAAAAAACAAATGAAATTTAGGCAGGGTACGGTTTGATTACGTTTAATTTGGGCAGGGTACGCCTTGAGGTTTTAATTTTGGCACAGATTGCACAAATTTAGAATTTTTGTTTTTTGTAGCAGTGCTCGAGCAAGTGCTCATTAAATTTTGCCTGTTATACGGCTAAAGCAAAAAGCGTGCGTGTTTGCATTAGCCTAGGTTGTATAAACGTTAACATAATTTAAACTTAACAAGTCATGAGATAACCTGAATTTTGACTGTGGAGTGCAAAGGTTTTCTCTTGCTACACGTAAAATGCAAACTCATAGTAGCAGCTTATGACATTTTGATGATGTGAATTCATAATTAATTTATGAGAAAATTTTAAAAAATGCTGATTACCTAAAGAATGTAGCTGATGATCTTTTAAGTAGCTGAAGCTGTGAACATCTATATCAGTGCTCCATTTAAGTTCATCAGAGTTCACTGCGATTGGGTTACCCAATAACGGAAATGTCTTACTGCCACCCTGGAAATTGTCATTTGCCCACAGCTCAGTTTCCTGCCAAGGGTATGTTGGATATCTGACAAACTTTCCTTTGTTATGATTGTTCACTTGCCTTAAATTCACAGGGTAACCAAGAGTAAACATTCGGCCTATACACTGGATTTGCAAATGCATGAGCCTCTGTGAAACCTTTCTTGCAGGCAGTGCCTAGACAAAGAGAAATCATTACAAGTTAGGAATGTAAAAACTAACTATGCAAAGTCATTGATAAGAACAGAGACAAATCCACTCTTCAAGAGAGCTTTTATAGATTGCTCGTATTAAGTTTAGATGCATGCACTTCTATGATATTTGCAAGAAAAAAAAACTTAAGGACTGCAGTGATAGAAATAGTCATCTTGTTACAACATAGCAGTTTCTACGTTTCCAATTATAGCCTTAAGAAATTAACTTTTCAACCTTACCTGAATGACTGTAAGATCTTTTGCTTCGTTTTGCTTTCCAATTTCAGTTATATAATTAGAGAGGACAGGGCGAGGACTGATCTCGATAAAGTTGCGAACTCCAATTTTCATCATTCTCTCGATGCATTGGGAAAACAAAACAGTATGTCTTAAGTTCTTCCACCAATAACAGTCATCCAGTTCACTCCCATTCATCTCTTTGCCTTCCGTTGTAGAGAAAAATCTCATCTCTGCTGGTTTTGCTATGACCTGCTTTTCATTTATCGTTTTCATGAACTTCCACTTCACTGACTCCATGTGGTGACTATGAAAAGCTTTGTCGGTTGCTAATCGCCTCACGAAAATGTCGCTCTTTTGCTCCTTAAGGTGATTCTCCAATATTTCTAAGGCATCTTTATCACCTGAGACAGTCACACTTTTCGCTGTGTTTTCGGCAGCAATACAAAGGTTCTCTGATATTTTCAGTCTGTCAATTACCGCTGACACATCTTTCTTGCTCATTCCTAAATGGCAGACAACATTTGATTGACATTTTTTTTAAAAAGTGAATGACATAAAAGATTTTTCAATTGCAATGACTTGGATTTTGATATTAATCAATTTAGTAATGTTTCAGTTGCGACCTGCATGGTTAGCTGCAGCTGTCTTGAGAGGTTTACTGTGTTTTGTATTTCATGCTGTACGATATTAGGCCGGTATTAAAAATAAATTTGCAAAGCATGCCGGTTGGGCAAGAGCCTTCAAAGCCAAAAGTCTTGTTAGATCCTGTTTTGTTCGTGAACGCCTATTCATGGCAGTGTTTGTGCATCAACATGTATTGTGCTGACTTTTGTATTGACTACGTTTTAGAATTATTGGCTTAGCACCTTCAGCTCGCAAACAGATTGGCAAGAAGCCGTTGTATACACACTGAAGAATTAATTAATGATCATTACACAATTAACGTTTTCAAATAGAAAAATAATTGAATTATAGTTAACCAAACGGTGTCATCAATTTGACACATCAGAGTAAAGCTATTTTGCAAGGATCACTTGTCTATGGAGATCAGTTGAGCAAAAAAAAGGGTTCTTGGAGAGAAAACTTGATGGCATCAAACTTACCAATTGCAGTCATTGCACCTTCCGAGTGACACATCTTTTGAAGTGATCCCCTTGTCATAATTACTTTAATTGCACTTTTTAGAGTGATTATCTTTGCTACACAAGCAGCTGTAATGTCTCCAAGACTGTGGCCAACTACAAATGTTGGTACAATGCATGCCTTTTCAATTAGAAATTGAGCGGTTGCATACTGTAATGCAAAAATAGACAATTGGACTGTGACCATGTCATCTTCGACATCTGCCTCGCCTTGCTCCTTTCTTTCCAGATATGCTAACAACGAGCTTTTGTTGCCGTATTTTCTGGCTTTCTTATCAACATGTTTGATGGTGTTGAGAATTTCTTTTCGTTTGCAAAGATCGCCAGCCATTGAAAGCCACTGAGAACCTTGTCCTCCGAAAACAAACGCAGTATTCAAGCAAAACTTGTTTGTCCTATCACTGCAAATTTCGACTCGGCTTTTGTCCGGACTTTTGCTGAAGTCCTCTAATATCCTTGAAGCTTCTCGTAGAGAGCTAAGGTCAACAGCTAAGCGTACACTGTGCCCTGTTCGTCGTTCACTCATTGTGTAACAAAGGTCATTTCTATTTTCGGCAGTATTGTCCATGCCACCTAGCCAAATACTGAACTTTTCTGCCATTGACTGTAGTGCTTGTTTCGACCTTGCTGACAATACGAGTACCTGTGGATGTGAGTGCGATGGTGCACCGTGATTCTCAATAGGGCATGTTGACTGCTGTTGTCTTAAGATGATATGAGCGTTGCTGCCCCCAAAGCCAAATGAACTGACAGTTGCAATCTTTGGTTGATTAGAGGCAAGCGCCGGCCACCCGCTATTTTCCGTCTGAACATGAAGCCCGGAGCTTTCCAGCCCAAGGCGAGTTGCTTTTTTTTCAATTCCAACTGTAGGCACCAACTCTCCATGCTTCATCATCAAGCAAACTTTGGCTAATCCAGCCAAGCCAGCAGCTGATTCCGTGTGATTGATATTCGACTTAACACTTCCTGAAAAAGGTAATAAAAGATTTATTATGGAATTGAAAGATTTCTTTAGTAAAATGCAACAAGCCACAAAACATGGCAAATGCCTCTGTAGTTTTCAATTGATTAGTTAATATTCTAATCATGATTATCGACCTTACCTACAATTACAGGGTTGTCCGAAATCCGCATTCTTCCATACACTTCACCAACAGAGTTCACCTCAACAGAGTCACCGATTATAGTGCCAGTTCCATGCATTTCAATATACTGTACATCAGACGGGCTAACATTGGCTTCTCGTAACACATTTCTCATTAGACGCACTTGTCCTTCAATGCTGGGTGCGGTGATAGGGGCTGCAGTTTGTCCATCGTTGTTCATACCCCAAGCTATTATTTCGCTGTAAGGCTGGTCGGATGAGTTGACAAAATCGCTGCCTTTAAGGATGAAAACCAGTGCAGCCTCACCTCTTCCGTAACCGTCTGCTCTTTCATCGAAAACTTTGCTTTGACCATCAGAGGCCAGCATTCCTGCTCTACATATAGGTGCCTGTTTGACTGGGTCAAGTATCACATTGGCTGCAGCAACAATGGCTACATCAACTGCTCCTTTTTGAATATGGTCACAAGCAATATTCAGAGCTGTTAAAGAAGATGAGCAAGCCGTATCTACTGCTATGCTTGGTCCAGAAAGATTGAATGAAAACGATATTCTGTTTGCAGTTATTGAAAAGGCGTTTCCTGTGGCTGCAAACTGATCAAGGTTGGGGAGAGAATCAGGTCCAAATGCCACTGAACTGTATTCTTGGTTCATGATGCCAACATAAACACCGGTGGTGCATTGCTGCAACTCTTCGATCGTCATACCAGCATCCTCTATTGCTTCATAAGTTCCTGCAAAAAACTAATGCATAAGAAAGCCGCCAGTCAAATGACAAAAATGCAGTGATGACAACAAAAGCACTAACTACAACAAGATCGTTGAGCACAATAAAAGCACGGATGACAACGTACCTTGTAGAAGCAGCCTCTGCTGTGGATCCATTACCTTGGCCTCGGAAGCAGATATCCCAAAGAACGTGTAATCAAATTTGCTAACATCTTCTAGATATGAGCCTCTTGTAACGTAGATCTTTCCAGGAACCGATCGCATTGGGTTGAACGATTCCAAGAAATGTTTTTTCCTACCATATCTTCCTTCTGGGTATTCAGTAATCGTACATTTGCCTTTTCTGAGTAATTCCCAAAATTCTTCTAGCGTTTTAGCTGATGGCACTCGCGCTGATAGCCCTAGAATCGTTACAAGACGATTTCGATTCATTCGCTTTTCTTTAGGACTGCCTTTTGAGTTTCTTCTCAAAATTTTCTTCCATGGAAAAGGAAAATCTTCGGCAGAAAATTCATTTCCAATTTGAAAATCAATGAAGGTTTTGAATGTTGACAATAACACAGGCAGCAAAACCATTCCATTGTACAATCCAAGAAAGATTATACCAACAAACATCTTGAAGAAAATCTGTGAATTGAATTAGACAGAAAGATTTTAGTAAAAGAAACTTGTAATAGACTATGTAATGTTTACAACGATGTTTACAATGTTTACTTTTTTGGGTTGTTACATTCGAAATCAAAACTAGAACAACAAATTTTTTCACAAGATCTTGTTACAATGGATTCTTTCAAGAATGTTCCATCTTTCTCTTCGCTTCATTTTCGTTCTTTGATTAGAAACCTTTCATAAAAGTTACTTAGTTATTTACTTGGTATTCATAAAATACAGCATTTTAGTGTGCTCGGAAGTGTTTGAAAACTTTACAATCATTTTACAGTTTGATAAATTTTTAGTGAAAAATTTTAGGCAAACCTGAAAGATTGGAGACTTTGCGAAGCCCATTAGTGTTATTCCAAGAAAAGTGCTAACTGCGCCCAGGAACACGCTACCACCAATTGTAGTGAGTGCCTCTTTTATCTTCCCGTTTACCGTATGTTCTCTAGATATGACAAAGGCGTGTGCAATGTGAGCACTGTAGTCAACTGTGAAACCAAGAGACATCACTAAAGTTATCATTGTTATTGTGTTTAATTGTACATCCCACAAATACATTAAGCCAAATAGTTCCACAATCAGGGATGCAAAGCCAATAAGGATGAAAAATATGATCAATGGATGAATGCAAAATGGTATAAGCACAACAGCGATAACAGCCGATACACATATCAAATTCCTGATTACTTCCTCCACGATGACCGCATACTGCTCGAAGTAGACAAACGGATCTCCTATGACAGAAAACTTGAGTTTGCTTTGCTTACTAAGGTCACGGCGAATTTTCAGCATGGCATCTTTTTGATCGTTAGAATTACTTGTATCTTTGTAGTAAACCACGACCCTGCTAGCTGCAATGTCTCCCTTTGCATCAAATCTGACGTCTGCTTTGAACTGCTTATATTGAGGAATCGACAGAAACTTCTGCATAGCACTTTTGAAACCTTTGCCATCGGCCTTTATTGCATATTTGTTGCAGTATGCTTCGAATGCATGAACCCAAGAAAGATTACGATTGAGATAGTAACCAGTTTCGTAGGCGATCCGCACAGAATTTGCAATTTCCTTTCTTACACGAGGGTCTGAATAGTTAACCTTGCTCGTCACCTGAATGTTTACAGGAATGGTTAAAGGAAAATTGCTTTCAAGCACCTTTACATAATTGGAAAACTCTGAATTTGGCATGGCCAATGTCCTTCTATTGAAACGAGTATCTACGTTTATGCACCCAAAAATGCCCATTGCCACCATTGCTATTGTGAGAAGAATAACGAAACATTTTACCGGCCATTTCAAGAGACTGTTTCCGTAAGCCTTCAGTATTCTCGCTGAAAATGGTGCATTGCTTTTCATGTTAATACAATTTTTATCAGGAGCATTCAGAACTGGCAGACAAGCACTTCTTTTCATGTCGATTCGTTTAGCATCAAGAAACAGAAACACAACAAAAACAGTTACTTGGAACAGGAATTCGACACTGATGCACATTGCAGTATATATGCAGAAATATTTGATGTCAAGAAATGCACTTGATGTCCCAATAAAGAAGGCAATGACATCAGTTATTGTTGTCATAGTGATTGTTGCCCCGACTTTGGCAATAGCATTAGACACCCGCCTTCTTGGAGCAAATTTTGGAGACTGCCTATCAAATTCATCCACGATGATAAACATGTCATCTATTCCAACACTTACAACTAGAAAGGGCACGATACCAACTAGTCGAATGAATGGTATGCCAAATAGCATTGTCAGCCCAATGCCACATAGAATACCTAAAGCAGTTGATACTACTCCGAAGAAAGCCAGCAAATTGTGTCCTTGTACCGGATTGACAAATTTAGATAAAACTAGGCAAGAAAATGTTGACATGATGGTGAACGTTACACTTATTAGGCCAATATCATGCGAGGAACTGTCTCCAATAGCATCATCCATACTTCTTTCGGCAGAGAAAAAAACGCTTACGTTTTTTAATGATCCTCTTGCCAGCTTCAATGAAGAAAGAAACGACTTTTCCCATTCCATGATTTCCTTTGTTTCAGTCTCCTGTTTCATGTACATCACAGTTTGAATAGCTTTCGCAGTGACAGTTTTTGCTGAAGTATTTAAGTTGAAGCCAGCAAGAGCTTCTTGTACATTGACTGCTGTACTCCGTCCATTTGACATTAGCAAACTAGGATTCGAAATCGCTTTTTTTAAAGTTTCATAAATACGAGTATCGTTGCTGGTACCATTTGCGAAAATTTCTAGAATGTTCACTTGTCGGCAAACTGAATTGCTGATTGAAGCATTTTGCTCTTTCTTCAGAAACTTTGGTACTGGGTAGCAAAGTCTTTTGTATCCTGGTAATGAAGCAATTTCCTTAAGAACAGAAACAATTTCCGGCAAACAGTTTTTAGAGAGAATATTTTGGCCGTTCTTTGGGGTGAATAGTATCTCTTCAGCTCTTGCGTTGAAGATGTTTCGGAAAAAGGGCTTTCCTTCATTTAGTGCAGACTCTGAAACTGAGTTTTGGGGCACAAGAAGTTCACGAGTTCTTGTTTCTGAGCGGAATCTTATGAGCCCTAGACAACTTAAGCCTATAACCAAAGCTGAGATCAACAAGATTCTTTTTGGATGCTTTGTTACACGGAGGGCAAAGTATTCCATTCCATTTTCAAGGCGTGCCAGCACTGTACGCATTGCACACAAATAAAAGATCCATGTTTTTTGGAGACTACTCCGCTCCTTTCTGTCGTTTGCTTTATTGCTGCCCATTGTTAGGGAAACAAAGTCCTAGGAAAAAGATAATACCATTTTATTCACTCAGATTTGCTCCATATATGGGTAGCAATTGAATGGCACTGCTGTCCAAGTTCATTGTTACGACTTGTCAATATATTCGTTCGATAGAACTATAAGTTGTAAAACATGAAATATGGAATGTTGGGATGCATAGTTTCAGAATGATGGTATTAGATTTTTGCGATATAGAATCTTGAAAAATATAATCACTGAATATAGAGTAAGCAGTTTCCACAAACTGATATGGAGTGCTAATGACAAAATTGCTTCTCAAAACATTTTTGCATTTTCTAAATTTTTTTATCCCATCTTTGAGTTTCCATATACCAAGACAGTTGTTCTGTCATCTCAAAAAGCCACTATTCTAAATTTCAACATTTCACTTTTTTATTCTGGTTATTGACTGTATTAAAAGTTCTTAGAAGTTCAATATTTGCAACAAGAAAAATTGAACTGCCAATGGACACCAATCAAACATCGAAATCATCACTTGTGGTCTTTACAAGGCAGGCTATACCGTAAGACTATAGTTTTAAGGCAGACTATAACCCCAAGCCTGGGGAATTGGTCCTTTTTTGATCTTCCAAAGTTTATAGCGTTTTTTCTGCCTTAAAATATCATTATCCAGCAATCACACTGTATAGAGTATTAAATGGAATCGTGACAACTCATCATTTTTATGCAGTTTTTATTTGGGGGAGACTCAAATGCAAAGCTAGATCTCTAACATCTCTAACAATGAAGCAGGATTCATTTAATAATTGACAATGCAAACATAGAACACGATTGGCCATCTAGTTGCCTGAGTAAAGCTTTATATCCTCGTTTGGTTTTATTGGGGTTTGAGATCCTTGTTCTATTTGACCATATTTATTAGAGTTATTAAACAATTCTAATTCTAATAAGAAACAGTAGAATTTTTCTTTAGAAGGAAAAACCCTGATTCCTTGCTAGCTTCTTTGTTTCAAAGCCAGGTTTCTTCAATCAGCTATAAGCATATAAAAATACAGGAAACATAACGTAAATAGAAAACCATTTGTAAAGAAATAATAAGAAAATGGAAATTTAAAGAAAAATTCAGGGAATTGTAAATAAAAACGAAATTTTTAAATAAATTATATTAAAGGGTTAACAAGTTTTAAATTTCACTTGCCTATCAATTTTGGCTGAAGAATTTCGCTAATATATTTATCAGTGTTGCGGTATCACCTTCATTGATATCTTGACACCAAGTAACCAACTGTTACAGCCAATTATCATTGATAATTATACTATTGTTCTCAGACCCACTGTCAATTAAAGGGTTTAGATGTTGAATGACAAACTGCGTTTACTATGAATATACTGTTGTAGTTAACAAATGTTGGCTTCTATCAAACACAAGATGTATTACCAAATGTATTACTTTTCACTAAAAGTATTATCAGTAGAATTTTATCCGGTGCGCTACCATGCAACCAGGATTTTCGGGCTCCAAATTGTTGTAAAAGTTAAAGCAATCTATTAAGCAGCTTTCTTTGTCACTGTAACGGAGCTAAACTTGCATTTTGCAACATGTTTTACAACGTTTTGAGTGCTTTGTTCCCAAATGTTGTTGTTGCTAGCACGTCGATTGAATAGAAAAGAAATAAGAAAACCAGGGTGAATTTCAAAATGATCAGAATCAACTGGGATCCAAGTTTACCGCTTTTTCTTACTTTTAATTAAAACTTTATCAGACTATTTTTCTGCGGCCAAAGCCACGTGTGACAACAACTTGCGGTTGTATTACGTTCGATCTTTAGGTAACTCAACTCGAGATGAGCACTAGATTTATCGATTCTTTTTTTAACTCAGTGCTAAAGTGTCTGAAATCTCATTTTATTACCAAATGCAATAGAACTACTTTTTAGAAACACAAAAACGTAACATGGAATGGAACTCTTCTTTCTGATTCTCTTTGTCAAATAAATACAATATTGGTATTTCTGATTCTTTTTGTCAAATAAATACAAAATTGGTATCTTACCCAGGGTGTAGACTTAGAGGGGCTCAGTGGCTTGAAAAAATTTTTGAGGACCCACCCCCTCCCCTCGGAAACTACCGTAAAGCTCTAGCAAGTTCACCCTCTCTATTAGCCCTCTTTTTATTATTGCCCCCTTATCAAGCAAAATTTTAAAATAACCCCCTTCCAAATTAAGCACCTCTGTTTTAGCCGCCAATGTCAAACAAGGAAAACATGCGCATGTTGGAGTGGGACTCTTCACGGTTGTGATGATGAAAATATAATGTGCATTAAATACAGCTAATGTAAAGATTCACTCAAAATTTGCTTATGTGTCCCAGTTTTATCAATTGATCTTCCCAATTCTTCCTTATTGTTTAATTTTTTGAAGGTGATCAGCAAGTTCTGCATGGTTTCCTTAAATCTTAGCGTAAATTTTTTTCAGGCCAATGCCCAAAACTGGAATTAATTCCGTGTCTGTTGAGGGATCCATGTCTGCAAAAAATTGGATTGTTCGGGAGACAAATCTTCAAAACGGTTCTGCTATCATTTCCTTATCAAATGCTATGGCTTGAGCAAAAAAAGGTTTATCTCTACAGGTATCTACAGCTAAATTTCCCTGAATTAAACAAAAATACTTAAAATTCTTTAGCTGCTGACACCATCCTCGGCAATTCAGTATGTCGAATAAGAAAATTAAAAATTATAATATCAGACCTTTGAACATTTTAAATCAGGTTTGTAGAACAGGAGGGGGGGGGGAGCTCAGGAGCGCAGTCTTATTTTTCTAAGTAATTCTAAATTATCATGGCTAACTTCTGCCAGGTTCTTCATTTTCAAAATTTATTTACTACTTTAGGTTCTTTGTTTTTAAAATTTTGCTACTCAAGTAGCAGGTAGAGATTGGAAAATGATGTGATTCTAGAAAAAAATGAAAAGGTAAAGAAGTTGATATTGAGGAGCCATGCACATGAAAACAACTTGTTCATTTTGCATAGCGAAAGCTTTAAATCACTTCTACATTTTTTTGGCTTTAAACTACTGCTTTGGATCTATATATCGGAACAAGCCCAAAACATATTTCTACTGTCTGGTTTCCGCCAAAGGAAAAGGAATCTTTTGAATTTAGATGCTACCCGTTTGCTTGAAGCAATTTTTAATAACGAAAGCTTTTTTTTAAAATAATATCCACATGCTGAAAGCTTTTTGATGGTTTTAATATATTTTCTTGTGTCGTTGTTAAATTTCTCAGCTTATGCAACATTATTATCATTAGGTTGGGACATAATCTCTCAGCTTTTTCCTAGCATTTCTTCTTGTTTCAGTAAATTAAAACGCCTTGCAACCTCCAAATAATTTCATGTAATAGAGCCCTATCTGGACATTTACCGCCATGCCCAACATCATCGGCGGGCTCCCCAAAAACACCTCCTACCTCGGTAGGCCCCTGGTATCTAATGTGTTCAGAATTCGTTTAGATTTAGCGTGCGATTTTGAGATGGTTTTTGGCGATCATTGTTAAGCACATTAAAGCTAGTAAAAAAGAAGGGATGGTATGTTGCAATATTATTCTTGTTCTTTTCGCCTTTAGTATTGTTGGGTTCTTTTTTACAAATCTTCCTAGCTTGTTAGCTATTTGCAAGGACAGGGCCCCTTCGGTACCCCTATGAAGTGAACATTAATTTTTTACGCCCCTCGCCTCCCTTGCCCCCCTCCCTGCCAGCACGCCACTGATTCTAGACAAATTTACTTAAAGAATGGTAGACTACATTTTTTGTCACTTTTGCCTAAAAGTATTACCTTGTTCTGTAGAAAATCGGGGGCCGTAGCCCCCCTGGCCCCTACGGTTTCACCGGCCCTGTCAAATTTAATACTTCAAAAAACAGCTAATACTTTAAAGAACAAGGAACTCATCGGGGTGGTTGTTTCAAACACAGGTATAACAAGTTTTTTTCACGTTTGTTTTTAGAAAGACATATTTCTTAAACAAAGTAACATATGCGCATCAAAATTTACTGGGAACAAAAATAGAAGGTAAAAGACTAGCAGAGGATAAGAAAAATATTTGAAAATTATAACCGTAATAAAAAAACATTTTAAATTTTATTCTTGAAACAACGTTAACATTGTCGGGCTGATTGCCTCTCCATGCATAATTTCTATTCGACCTTAAAAATATAATCATGACTGGATCATTATCTCGAATATATTATATACACTTAACAACAACAATTTTCGGCGGTATACTTGCGGCAACATATCAGAATTTCATCGTAACAAAATTTCATTGTTGTCACAGACGACTGCTCCGAAATGGAGACTTAGCTTCAATTATTATTATTATTATTATTATTACAGAGCAGATAACAACAGTTTACTTAATTTTCTGTCTCATAGGTAACAATTTCATGAAGGCTTGAACACCAGCTGGAATTTTGGCTTAGCTCTCAGGTATATTCTCAAATGAGAGTGAAGGCAAATCAAAGAGATGCTATGGCAGGGGCCTCGTGGCTAGGCTGGACACCAGGAAACTTCCCGGTGGGCCCCTTTCAACTGCGTTTGTAACCCAAGAAAATATTTATTATGAACGAAATGCTTGGCGAGAAAATTCTTATATGTAGACTCAAGTTCACAGTTCAGAATTAAAGGAGATCAACATATACAAACAGGCCCTGTGAAAGAGATGAGTTGAATATGAACAGGTCCGCCGAATGGGAGACAAGGAGTTGCAAATAGCCTCAGGACCTCGAGAACTGAATTTTTACGAAACGCAACAGAGTGTGTCTAAAAAAATGTAAAACGTGGTAAACGACTGTAAAAAACATTCTGAAATGTGTTTCAAGCTAAATAAAAGGGCGTGACCACAAATTTTTTCTGCTCGCTACGCTCGCAATGCATCTTTCTTGTTTGGTGCATGGTTTCCAAGAAGGTACCATTTTTGGCGAGCTGTAGTTTGTTATTGGAGATGTCAAAACAAAAACGCGGGCCTCCTTATGGTAATTTTCTCCCTTTTCTTTTCTAGGAGCCAGAACGCCCCTGTGCTATGGCACTCTTAATAATATGTTTCGAAGAATTGCTGGCCAACATTTTGAAAAAATTCAATAAATTTTAAAAAATATGTGATCATGGAATAAAAGTTTATAAATCCTGTGCAATTAAAAAATATGATTATATTTTTGTTATTATAGATCATTATTTTATAATTGTAAATTTCATCAAATAAAATTATAACAATCGGAAAGTATAAAACAACTTTATTTGTAAAAGGCGGTCTGGAAAATTTGATCTCTCTAGAGTTCAAAATTTGGGTTGAAAAACCCAAATACCTTGAATGAACCAAAAATGCTAGATACGGTTGAATTACAAAATAGAGGTGCATTTTTTCGAATACACTCTTTTTTTCATAAGAACAATTTTATAAGAACACGAGCCTCAAAACTGGTCAAAAGTTAAGAACAAATTGAGAACAAGCTGAGGCTGAGCTTGTGCAAAATGCAATTTTGAATAACGTTTTTTCTCAAAATCGAGGATTTTTAGCGATGTGTGGGTGCATATTGTGAATATTCAAATTTGTCAGCAAATTAAAAGCTGTCTCACTCACTTTGTCGGCAAATGAGGCTTGAACACCTCCTTAGAGCAAAAAAGCTAGCAATATCACTGCTTACACCCTCTTAATTTAAAGAAAAAATTAAGAACAATCCAACCTCAGATTTTTCGAAAAAATTAAGATTAGTCAGCCTGAATTTAAATTTACTGGTTCTTATAAAATAAAAGAGTGTAGGCGCAAAAAACAGTTAGAACTATTTTTACGAGTTATAGTGAAATGAAGGAGGTCCAAGAACCGCAATGATGAGGATGATGGTGACTTAATTTGAATTGACTATATTAAAAGGATACACAGATGTGATTTCTAGTCCCATATAATAGCTTAAACATGACAATTTTCAAAATTCTTAAAAGCGAGAAATTTCGTCGGGACGAACTCTCATGTCATTTAGAATTTAGTCAAAAAATATTTCGTCAGAATATTTGTCCGAAATTTTGTCACGATGAAATATTTTTGAGTAATGTATTAATTTTGAGATTAAAAAAAATGCTTTGATTGATAATTATTCTGCATTTGTATTGGATTTGAAATTTAGTTCTAAATTTGTACAGCTTTTAGAAAACAGAGATGTAAAAAAAAGCAATAGGTTGAGATACAAACCTTAGGTTGAGACTCTGCTTCGTAAGGCCCTTATCAGCAGCAAAGGCGATATGACGTTTGGCATGAAGATTTGAAGATTTTAAAATACCCTAAACATGCCACTTCGCGATTTAGCCAATCGCTGAGCTGTGCGTAGGTTTGACTGACAACAGGAACAAAAGTAGGATGCTACTTCCACAATGAGGAAATTACTTGTGAAAATAAAGTGAATCGTTGACAGTTACAGACAAGTCAGAGATTTGCGGTTTCCTTGAGTAATTTGTTTCGTCGTCCTTCAGCTAGGAAGCTGAGACGGCCATTAACTGATACATTTTTAGTGGGCCTGTGTTAAGCTTTGGAGAGGAAAAGTAACAAACTGGTTGTTTCCTTGGTCGGGGCTTGTTCTTTAGAAAATATATCTGGCCTAAAGAAAACTTTTTTAGAATAGATGGCAATAAGCCTGACTGGTTAACCAAATAAGAAAACTTAATAGCAAATTTATCTCTATTTGCAGCAAAATTTCCAATGTGCAAGGTTGAATAGCTTCACCTCAATTAGATATAAGTTCATTTTTGCTGTCAGAGGAAGGATGGTTTAAAAAGCGAACTTTTTCTTAACAGGCACTTTAACATTGAGTGAGTTAAACAGATACGCGATATTATAGCAAGATATCAAAAGAAAAGGGAAATACAAATATTTGTCCGAATGTCTGCATATCCTTTGGTACAGGGGTAAGAGCAGAAAGAAAAATTCAATAAGCAGGGGGTGGATTGAGTTTGAGGGGTGGGAGAGTTTGGAAAATTCGGGAATGACACTTCTGCTAGGGTCTTAAATGCAGAATACAAGGAGAACATAAATTATCGATGAACAAAACTCGTTTTGGTACCAAAACATTGTTTAAACTTCTATTTCAATCAACCCTTCAACTTTACGCTTCTTCGAATTTTGACCAAGAGGAATTCAAGGCAGTGGATTTAACAGAGAGCATGAAGACTGCAGGATAATGTCCGCTGTGACAGGCGTCTTTCTTGTTCATTTGAGGTTATTAATCGATCGATATTCGAAAGATTTGCAGAAGTAGAATTGTAAGAAGTGATTGGTAAATTTATCAAGTCTCCAATCGATAATAACTTAAGTTAAGCGTAGGTATGGGTAAAGCTGTGACAGCCTCAAAGCAGTCTATCCTCTATTGTGCTCAACTTTTATTATCGCTGTTAACTTTCTAACTCGGGAATGAAATACCAATACAAAATGAAGGACATAAAGCTCCCTCAGAGAAACATGCCATAGACATCAGAAGGTCAATCATGACGCAAAGCTATGCCAACAAGGCATTGCTACATATAGAATCAGAATGAGGAAGTTATGTCAATAGTGAAAGAAAATGCTTCCATTATCATCATTCATTTTATTCCAGTAATTAAATCTTCTTGCCATTTCTTATAGCTTCTTGCTCGCAGTTTCAAATGCAGTCCACAACCGCAGCTAGGCCAGCCAAAACAAGTATCGTAATCCGTTAAGACAGGAAGACCTATAGTTGATATAAGCCAATCAAGCAGGGGACAGACTGTCTTTATTCAATATAAGTAAGACATTACATTATATATAAAGAAAAAATTATTCACATTTCTTCGTTGATGTTTTGATAAAACTATGCAGAACCCCTTTTGTTCCAATTGCTCTAAAACAATATCGCCCTCCTCTCCCAATAATTTTACCATTTTATGATAGTTTAAAGTAAACTGGACACTTTTGTAAAGTACTTTAAAGTAGTGTGATTCCGGCTACAAAGGAGGCACAACCCAAAGATAGGTAGATACGATAAAACAAAGCTCCCTCAGATAAACAACATGTTCTTCCTTCCAACATAAGAAACAAAACTGCCCATCAAAGATAACAGCCTCCTCGATTTTGTAGGTCTAGAACCACCGTTATAACAAGTGATTCTGCCATCGGATCAGGCAACATCTTTTAGATTGGACAACAATTGTGATTTCCCATATGCACCTGATTTGATATCTACAGTTAGCCGGTCACGTGCTAACGTTTTTCTGATAGGCCTATTTCGGTCAATAACTGGGTAAAATTTTCCATCATATTATTTTGGAACCTTATTCTGGTGTTTCGTACTTTGAGAAGTTTCAGACGAAAAGCTATATATATGCTGGAAAATGTTTGGTTTTTTTTCAAAAGATTAAAAAGTTGAATGCAACGGTTTCTGAATCAAATTGGCAATCGTTTTCAATTAGCTATGATGCCTTAGAATATCTTCAAGTGGAAGTCAAGAAAAATCTTCAGTTAACATGATTTTTGACACTTGACTATGTATAATTGTTAAGAGTTTAATTTCTTCTTTATTTAAGTTCTAAAGTAGTTATTCTTAAATTTATGAGAAATGAATATGCTGTTTAAATTTTTGCCGGAACGGAAATCCTAAATTTCTGTAATAACTGTAAGCTAGATATCACAAAAGTTGTTCCTGAAAGCTAAGGTACTCGACTTAACAATAGCTGCTCTATATCCTTGTGATAACCATTGGTAGAAACAAGGGTCAAATTACTGCAGTAAACTACAGTGCAGTGAAGGTTACTACAGTAAAACCCTGCATAATGAACCACCTTTAGCCTTAAATTGCATGGCTTTGATCTCTTAAATAAGGACACAACTGTTCTAGGTTCTTATATAGAAGTTGCTAAACTTTGAATTTAAAGATCAGCAAAAGAGCTGGTGTCTACTTTCATTATAAATACAGTACACAATTTTTAATGCTTGCAGAAAAGAGAAAATGAGAAGAATGAGTATATTTTAGAGTAAACAGAGAATATTATCTCAAAATTTTAAATAAGGTATGCTCAGTAATTGCCGACTACCAATGAATCTTCTTCGATATAAATCTCTTTATCATCATATTTTTGCAAAAAAGTATTCGGTGAAGAGATCATTTCTAGTTAAAGATAAATTTTTATCACAAATCTATCTTGATCTGTGTTCATTATATTGGCCATTTGTTTTCCCAGAAAGAATCCACCACATTGAGGGAAAAAATTAAATTTTTATAAAAAAAAGAGCAACACAACACTTCCATTGCGACTTGTACTTTTCTTGTGATGTGAGTGACAAGTCATCTGTTTAAACCAGGTATTAAGAACCTTAATAAGAAGCACTTCCCTAAGTTTTTAATTCGTATTTCTTTCAAAAGAAGCTTTAAGGCCTAAGTGAAAAAGGAGGTTCCTTTGTGCGGGTTTTTACTGTACTCAAAGTGACACGTGATTTGGAGGAAATCTAATCCCTTCTACATATCTCCAGATTTGTTGATGCTTAAGGCTTTGGATTTAGACACAAATATCATCTTCTAAAATAATGACAATTTACCAATGATGACGTCATAAAAACTTGTTGCAATTTGTTATTTGCCTAACAGAGAATTCATCTTAAGTCAAAAATTAACAAATGGAAACGCAATTTTGCAAGTGTTTTGCAAAAATAAACACAAAACGTGTAGCAGATTTCAAACTATGTCGTCGTAAAGAAATAGCTTTATCGATTATGATGTCATCAAAAATTGGAGAAAATCATTTTCCATCTCATAAAGAGAACTCTCTTGCGAATTTGAGCGCATATGATGACGGACATGTAAAAGAATTTTGGAATGCGGAAGATTTTTACCAAGGCTTATTCTCTTCGGTCAACTTCCCTTTCAGATTATACTTCCCTTTCAGATTAATAATCTTTTGAGGATGAAGATACCGCCCATACTTCCCTTTCAGATCGTTTCAGCAAAGCTACAGTTGATGCATAGATAGTGACTATATATGGATTTTCCTGCACAGGAATGTGCGTACACAATCGCATACGTGAAAAACTGCGCGTGGGAACCGCGTCAACGATTAGCACAACGATTACGTATTTGAACAATTGAGCTGAGCACTATGTTTTTTTCGACCGACAACTCTCAGGTTTTCTTGCAACTTTTCTAGTAAGAGACAAATTCCAAGAAGCAAAATGATTTGAAACATCTCCGTTGCCTGTTAGACTTGTTCGAGATAAGTGGATACATAAGAAATAAAAATATCACTTTGAGGTACCTAAGTACTGAAAAACATTTTCGAAAAAAAATTTGGGGCCTCACGTAAGCGTGCAGTATTCTGGGCCCAGGGCTCGCTGTTCGATACTTATGCAATAATACGATACTTAATGGAAGTTCCAAAATTGGAAAAAAATGTTCTGCAGGCCCTCAGATTCAATGTTTGAACATGACAGGTTTCTAGGAAGGTAGATTACTTTAATGCTAACCAAATTTGGGAATACACATCAGAACAGCGGAGGACTCAGTCCCCCTACTTGTTTGTGCTTCAATCAGACAAGAATCATGTAACGCATAGAAAGCTGAAACAAAATGTTCCCTCCAGCACATGCCTGCCATTGTAAACAGAACAAAAACAGAAGACGTGTAGTGTGTGACATCTTTACAAAGAATGGAATGTACTTTTCAAGATTTCTTACTGAGAACATTTAGTGACTGTTTTCTATAGACAAGACAATATTTTTTATTCGTTGCTTTTAGAACTTTGCTTAAAGTTATGTGTGTCGGAAATGTTGCGCTTGTCGCTAAAAGTTGAGATTATGATCTTGGTTTGTCGGTAATTGTGAACAATTATCATCATTTCATACAATTACTTGAAAAATTCAAGGAGATTGGCTTTACTCGAACACATTTCACCGGTCAAAAACTGTCGTCTTTAACCACAAATAAAGGTTGCGGAAAAGAGAAAGCTAAAGCTGTAGCCTTTTCTACATGCTCATTCAAGAAGGAATTCTTCGCAGAACATTTTGAAGATGTTGCTTTCTTTTGTTGCACTTCATACCTCTTTCCATTTTCTTCTATTTTTACCTAGCTTTGTTTTGTTTCAGTCCATATTATTCTAGAGTCAGCTCCTACAATTCTGACTCTCCACATTCGCATCGCTTATATCATTTCAAACTCATTCCTCGTTGTTAAACTTTTTTCCTATTCGGGCGCTTGAAAGTTTATTAAAAAACCAACTCCAACCTCTTTCCCATTATTATGTCAAAATCAAACCTCTTTGAACCATGGGAACTATTGTAAAAGAAAGCTAACAGGCATTGTCTAGGATCCCCCTTTGGTCAAACTTGATGTTGTAAATATCTTAGATGCATTTTCTGCTAATCCCTATAATTTCATACGTATTTCCAAACATTTTCTTGAGTTCGGCCAATATTCCTAACCATGGTGGTGACCTTTAGTAAACCCCCGGAACAATCTAAACACTTTGCCACCCCAAACTGTAACGGGGTTTAGTTGGCCGGCGGGAGACGATAACTCAGAAAGAGAATCTGTTTATTGTAAACTGAAGTTTCATGTCGATACGATTCCCCCTACAAATCTGCTAATCATACGTTATATACAAGTTGCATTTGACAGATTATGATTAATGTGTGATTTGCAGTTCGATTACCATCATAAGCGAAACGAGGTTAGCGGAAGAGAGACTAATCCTGTTACACTACAACCTTCCAGTAAAGTCTCGCCAGCCCTGCCTAAGCTACTGATGTTTCCATAATGCCTGCTGCTCAACCAATCAATTAGCCTGGCTGCTCAACCAATGATCGGGAAAATATCAACCCCTATTATGCTTCGACTGGAAAATTACATATTGAGATTTACTTGAATAACTAAAACCTACCATTAGGCCAATGATTTGCTCTGTAGGAAGATACTATTTCATTGCGGATTTTTATGTTTGAGGGGTTTAGCCATCCACCAATCAAAAGTTTAGTTGTAGAAACACTACAGCGACGCTTAATGCAGCCAGATTTAACTCTAGAAATTCATACACTATAGAAAAAATAAACTCTTGATCAAAACCCGCCGTTAAATCTTCTTTGCTACATTCTTCTCCCATTTAAAAGTCATTTAGCTAGAAAACGCTAATTTTCCCCCACAATGGCAAGGATTTTCTCTTTCCTCTTATCCTACGTCACAATAAAACCCTAGGCAATACAGTGAAAATTATGCCAAGCCAAATAAAGGATTGTAGAACCCCCATGTCAATCTTTTACGCCAATGCCCACATCCCTGGCTTTCTTCTTTCTTTCTTTATTTAAAGTTGGCACAATCTCTAGCTATACTGGAGCTAATTAAAACCAACTAATTTAAATTACCAACGATAAATATAACGTAAATCAATGTTCGTTGAAAAGATCACATTTACAATTAAACGATGAAAATTACAAGATTTTTTGTTGATTATTTGAAAAGTTGTTGAGTATCTTATTTAATTTGGAAGTTAGTTCAATATTTGGCTACATCTGTATGAGACGGTATTAAATTCATAGGTTTTTCAATGTGGCTCCGCTGTGTAGAATTTGGAATTTCTTAAGGTATATGGTGGTAACTAATGAAAACTAATAGCAATATTTCAATAGCCTTTTAAGGAAGCCTTAAAAATTTTGCCACAAAGGACTTCGATGATACCCGTAAAGTTAATTTGGATTTCAGGGCCCCTTTCTCGACGAATTTGCCCGGGCCCTTAATTTGGAGCCTGTCCGCCCCTGGGCTGAAGGTGCGGCGTTCAATAAAGTGTATCAGATGGTGGCGTTCATTAGAGGAAATACGATCTAGCATATCTTTGAACATTGTTAGGAGCTTTATTGCTTCACCAATGTTGAAGCTCGTGTTTTGATTAAATAATTCTTATGGAAAAAGGTGTGTTTGCAAAATTTGAGACTTGCTTTCATCAACAATTTGTTTAAAGTTTTGTTCGCAGAAAATATTTTTTTCAAATTTCTTATTATTCTGGCTGTTCATTTTCTTCCCAACACACTGAGAACATGAGGGTGTGTTGCATTTGGACAATGCACGTGTTTTTATTGATATAGGCTATAAAATATTTATCTTTAATAGAAATTTATTTAGGGATAAAATTGCTCTACTACCATCGCGCAAGCCTGAAACGGATAATAAGAAGTGAACGAAAGACAATCTGGTCACAAACATGCCCCTGAATATTGTTTTGAAACTGTCTTCTCTAACTAAATTACATAGCTAGAACATATTTTGCAATCAAAATTGCAGACTTTAAACTACTAAGCCAGCACCAAACCCCATCCCCCAAATATTTTCATATATCGAGTGCAGCAAGGGGGCTAGAAATAACAGGGCGGGTTTAAAAATGGATTCCCCAAATTGACTCTAAGTTTAGAAAGGTTTTGGAAAGTTTCTTTTTTATTGATACAAATTACCCCTAAAACTTGGAAACACTCTCCTCGTCCGTGATTGCCCAAAGAGATGAATTTTTTGACAGCAAGGAATCACAAAATTAATGCGCTTACTAATTAAACGCAACGGAACGGCGATTGGAGTTTAGTATAAAGAGCTATGACGAAGAGACTTGATTCAAAGAGAAGGGAATAAGAAAAATTTCATTTAACGCAATTTTGCCCAATAGCGTTTCAATCAGAACTTTCGTGTGAAAAAAGTATCTGGTTTCTTTGCGTGCGTTAAGACACAGAATATAAGACTAGCCTCATTGCGACGCGACTTGCGTCACAAAACAATTATGATTGTGTTTAAACCTTGTACGTGGGTTTCCGATTCAATTCCTTTCGTGCGCTGCAACCACAGATCCATTTTTCCAAGATATTACAGACAATTCTAAATTGAAGCGACATACCGGGGGTAAGGCGAAGGTGACTTAACACTTCCCTATTAGAATGGGGAATCGCTCGCAAAAAGGAACTTCGCATTCCTTTGTTTAGCAGGTGATTGACATTTTTGCAAAAAAGAAACAGTTACTTCACTTCCTCAAAATTTCACTTCCTCGTCCTCGCTGCAACATGATTACGTGCTAAGGACCATTACTTTCGTGAACGTGCAGAATCAGGGGGCAGCATCGCAAAGTCAAGAGACCCAGCATAAATATAATCGAAATTGAAGGCCGAGGCAGACGTCTACAGGAGCGCAAGCGCATAGCTGCTTACTCTGTGACCAGGTATTTCAACTATCTTAGTGCAATTTTTGTTGTTGTAGATATATTAAATGCTCTCCACGTAAGAATTAGTGAGATATAAAACAGTTTCTTTATTTGAATGAATAAAAGTCATGAATTACTACGCTTTTTAGTTATTTTAAATCGTTTCCTTTGCTTTTTTGTATAGTAAATTCCTTATAATGCAAGTTATATCAATTTTTTTTTTATTTCGTGCGTGTAATGTTTGCGCTGAAATCCTTCAACTGTCACCAAATGAATACACTCTTTTTTAATTACATTCTTCGGAAAAAGCCGCCATTGTGTAGACAGAAGGAGTTCGTTTTCCCTCTTTGACTCAAGTGGTAATTTTTCTTTAGGCACGCGGCACTGATTGGTCAACTATACCGATCTTGTGCTTGCGTTTTTCTGATTGGCTTATTTCGATCCACAACTGGGTATATATATTTCCTAGCGTAAATTTTGATCTATGTTCTGACGTTTTAAACTCTAAAGAGTGTCAGACGAAAAAGTTTATACTCTACTAAAGTTATATGTTGTAAAGTGTTTGCTTTTTCAAAGCTATTTTCATACTCTTTTTTGTAAGATAAGAACCAGTTAATTTCAATTCAGGCTGACTGTTCTTAATTTGTTCGAAAATCTGAGACTGGGTTGTTTTTAATTTGTTCTTAAATAAATCGGGTGTAAACAGCGCAATTGCTAGCTTTCTCGCTCCAGCGATGTTTCCAGGTCTAATCTGTCAAGTATGTTTGGTCTCAGTACGTTTTAATCAATTTAAAGTTTTGAAAATGATCTCTCAGCTGTGGCAACTGTAACTGGAATTGTTACAAACAGAATTAGTAATTTGTACACTTCTGGAAAGGATGAACTCACTCTGCTTTCCAGCATCAAATTTACAATTTCCAGAACTGACTCTTTGTCTGCAATATCTTTCTCGGACTCCTTTGCAAATAACCGCAATTCGGTTTCCAAATTTTCCGTAAAATCATCTTGATATGCTGCAATTACAGTTTTTGTGATGAAAATCTGATCAGACAATTCATACTTTGCCAGTGATTTGGGGTGAAGAAACCTGAAAAGGTTTGTTACCAAACTTTACTCATTAAATCGCAATGGAGGCTGCATAAGAGCGGTGTCGACTGTTTTGTTTGAAAACCTTGACCTTAAACCATTTTTCTGGATCACTTAACGCATCATCTCGAGATAGTTCATCAAAGAAACACTTGACTTTGCGGTTTCTCTTCTGGATAAATTCAAGAGATGAGCACCAAACAGGCACCGCGCAGCCAGTGGGCTAGCAGGGGCTATAGCTCACCCACTTGTTTAGGCTTACTCACATAAAAAATGTTTAGGTTTACTCTAACGCAACTTTGGATAGTTTTCTCCTATGTAGTAGCAGTTCTCATTGACTGGAAGCCATTTTTGTTCTTTTTCTAATTGTTTAATCTTGTTTAATGATATGATGTATTTTCTAACTTGGTTAGTTTGGTTTTTTAATACCCTCGAGCTAATTCTATCTTTTTCTTCATAAGAACACTTTTATAAGAACACGAGCCTCAAAACTGGTTAAAAGTTAAGAACAAATTAAAAACAAGCTGAGTCTGAGCTTCTGCAAAATGAAATTTTGAACGTTTTTCTCAAAATCGAGGATTTTTAGCGATGTGTGGGTGCTTTTTCGGTGAATATTCAAATTTGTCAACAAATTAAGGCTGTCTCACTCACTTTGTTGGCAAATGAGGCCTGAACACCTTCTTAGAGCGAAAAATCTAGCAATAGCACTGCAATTTAGCCTCAGATTTTCGAAAAATTCAAGAACAGTCAGCCTGAAACTTACCCTGGGTACCAGACTCACTATATATGAAATAAAATAGAGAGTCTGGTCTAGTGCGCCCCATTCTCGTTCTGGTGTGCTTATATTAACCAATCAGGAGCGAGTGTACAGATTTCTGTACGTTCAAAGGTCACAGCGAAACAATAAACTTAGCTCTGGTGTAAAACAGGGTTGCCAACTGGCCTACTGGGAGGCCAAATTTGAGAAATCTGGCCTTTTTTAAGAATGCTTGGCTACGAAATTTTACCTTTGGCCTTCTGCCTCATTTTGGCTATTTTTTGGCTTCCTAGAAGGAATGTTCGAAAATGAGACTAAAACCCCATAAAATCATAAAATGGATAATCATAATATGTCTATGGACCAGACAGACACTTGAGGTGGCATTGATTAAATCCAAATGGATCAGATTGATTCAATCCAAATGGATCAGTGTCTGAATTTCTCATGGAATGACGTGAAGTCATTGCTATAGCTTATTTTTTCAACATTTTATTGACTTACTTTTTGAGTATTCCCTTTAATAACTGGGCCTCCGACGAATGAGGGGCCGAGTGACCATGCCCCCTACTTTCCTCCAAAACAATAGAGCTTTTTTTCAAAATCTCCTGTCAAGGCTGTTAAAGTTTCCCTTAGCTCTCCCTCTTCCCCTCTTTCAACCTGTTTCGGTGCCCATGGATAATTTTTTTAAATATAATTTGCAAACAATCTTTTGGTAGTAGAAAACTTACGTTTTCGACCTATGTTCTAACGTTTTATGCTCTGAAGAGTACTTAAATAGAACCTTTAGTATGACTGAAAATGTTTGCTTTTTTCAAACCCATTTTGCAATAGAATTGGAAATTTTTCAGTAATCAGTAACACGCATAAGCGGAGAGATTGATTTACACAATTGTAAAAAGTTACAATTCGAGTTTCTAATTCATGTCGACCAAGTGGCAAGGTAGATATTACAGTGCAAGGAAGTACAAGAAGTCTTAGGAAGCGCAATATGTTTGGCTTACAGAGTCTGTTGATGGAAAGGACAGCGGATACACTGCAAACAAAGCCTGCTTTTACTGCGCCTGCGCATTATGACGTCATTGTGTTATGGGTAAATTTGGCCTATTTTGATGTGATTTGGCCTATTTTCGTAAACGGTTTGGCTACTTAGTACCCATACCACCTGGCAACCCTGGTGTAAAACATTTAACATAATACAACATAAATAAATGCTAGCGACTGTAACGATTTAGTTTGAAGATGCTGTTAAAACTGTACTCAAAGAATATTTTCCGCATGTTGTGGAACTTAACACAGAACAACATTGAAAGCCTTGTTTGTAGAGAGAAGAGACACCTTCGCCATATTGCCAACTGACTTTGGAAAGTCTCTGATATTTCAGGCAGTGCCCCTCATTGCAAAGAAATTAGGCCTTGTAGTGAAATGCGGTAAATAAGAAACACCGCAAGGCGCCGAGAACAAACAACAACAAACACAAGTAAATCAGTTATGGCTAATATTTTCCCCGGCATACGGGGCTTCGCTTGTCATATTGGCCATATTTGCTGTGGCGAACTTCCAACGTGATGATTCTAACCGCCGCGGTGTCCAAGCGCGCTGCCTTCACAGTGAGGAAGTAGACTGAAAGTACACTTAATTTATGTGGAAAATTACAAAAGTCTTATTTTAAGTTGTATGCTAAATTTAACAATGATTAACATTTAGTAACTGCATTGTGCTAACTTTAATTTCATGCTTCGCATATGCTTTTTGCTGCCAAGGCGTTTTACACCTGATTTGATTGGAATCTTGAGGCAGAAAAGTCTGTTATCACTGTATTAATAATGTCAACTTTACAGAACTATATAAAATACATTGGCTTTAAGATTTCCCAAAACTCCTCCGACTACTGAGTATCTTTGTTATTTATGCGACAGTCTTGTTTCACAGGCCTAGTCTGGTAAATAGACTTCAGTTCTTTCAAGTAAGTTCACCCGAACGAGAATGGGGCGCACTAGACCAGACCCTCTATTATTTTATATAGTGAGTCTGGTACCCAGGGTACCTGAAACTAAATTCACTAGCTCTTATAAAAAAAGGAGTGTATTTTTATAGTTATTGATATCTTCTCTCAACCAGACTGTTTAAAAAAGCTCAATAGAAATGAGCAAGTATTTTCTAAAAGAGGCATTTTTCGGCGTTCAAGAGGGCGTGGCCTCAAAGATTTTACGGTCAGACCCATTTTAGCCCCTCCACTTTTGAAGCAGTGCGCGGTCTCTGAGTACCAAAAACTGGCAAGTTCAGAAGCTGTCATCCTGGGCTGCAAACAAGCTGCAAACAGGAACATGATCAATTTTTTCTGAAAAAAAGACGGCACATATTAGCGTATTTAGCTTAAGTGGAATGCAAATGGAGGGCACATACCACATACCCCTGGCTCTTACGTCTATGTTTGGGGGGGGGGGGTAATGCAGTCAAAAAAAGTTTATGTAATTTTGAGAAACAGCAAAATTGTGTTAATCGCGTGACTTCTACCGTTTCATAGTCAAAATAAAGCACCAACATCATTGATTCTGCCTATTCTGATACATACCCTCCTGGTTCAAAATTTCAACTCCCACTTTCAAGCTTACCGTAAATCCTCGAATCAGCCCCCACGCTCGAATAAGCCCCCCTCCCCTCTCCCCTCGAATAAGTCCCCACCTAAAAATAATTTTTGCAAATAAGCATAATTGCAGAATAATATCATGTTCAAGAAAGCCCCCACAGGACAAAAGCTTTACAGAAAAAAAACCCAGCAATTCGCATTTTTTCTCTCTCTTATTCATGTTAAAAACATATTATAAATAGTTCTTTCTTTGCTGAAAAGTATATCGTAAAAAAAAAGAAAAGAAAAGTGTTGCTGAAAAATATAAAGTATATTGTTTGATTGATTGATTGACTGATTGACATGATTACTTCCTTTGACTGAAGACCAAAAAGCAAAAAAAGCGACTTTTCTGATGATGAAAAAATTATAACATTCCTTAGTTCTTTGCTAGATTTGTTAGAAAAGTTAGTCGTTTTTATGTCGACCATTGAGGACAATACTAAACTTTGAAATAAGCCCCCTTCGAATAAACCCCCCCCCCTCGAATAGGCCCCCACCCATGCGTTCATTTTTGCAAATAAGCCCCGGGGGCTTATTCGAGGA